TCTTTCCTTAGATCTTGAACTGTAAAATCTTCTTGTGCAGGAATTGATAAGTATAGAGAACCGAGATAACTCTAGAGTTGGCCAGGGGCGGAGCTAGAGCCCTTTAAGGGGGTTCCATGGCACCCCCTTAGATTTGGATAAAAGCTCAAAATATTAATAATATTAGTTAAAATATTAGTAGTGCTACTTAGGTAATAATGATATTTAAATCCTATATCTCAATGTCATTGTCAAATCTTCCACCGTTAAACCACAACAGATTATATAAATTAACTTTATCTACTAGTTTCTACATTAATACATTCTAGTTTATATGATATGCATATTATTTTGATAAGGAAGAGGTGTATATTATTAGAGGAATCATTTTTTATAACGCTAATCGTAAGGAGGAGGTGTATAAATGTATTTGCATGTGAAAATACATTTGATTTGCTACTGCCATTTGTCAATACAACAAGTTAATAACATTTTATGCATAAAATGATTTATCAGCTTTCGCATCTAGTAAGCTGAAAATGTGAATGGTTATTTAGTGAGTGAAATCTTGATAGTTTGGCCGACTCATATAATTATAGAATATATTCACAATATGAAACGTGAGACCGCATATGTTATTTTTTGTGGCACCCCCTTGAATAAAATCATGTATACTATACTGGAGTTGGCGGTGGAGTAGTCAATTCTTCTCTCGGGGATAACATTCCTGTGGTTTGTAAATTTTTTTCCTGTTTTCTTCTTTTACTGGCTCAAAACGCTCTGCAGCACGCCAATAAATTTTTGGATGTCATCATTACTATATTGGAATTATATATCATCGCACTTCTTGCGGCGGCCGCTAGGAAAGAGGATAAGTGCATCAAGATATTGCTCCGCAGAGGGACTAAGAAATAAAAAAAATATAAGCAAGAAGAGATTAATTTCTTTAACGTTGTCGCTTTACGAAACAAGTTAACTAGTCCAAACCATAGCTTCCTTACTTTTTGTCATTATGTCCTCTTTACAAACCCTCTTTCCAAGATTCGAGTTGAAGTGGAAACCATCCATTGCTTCTTTTTTTATTCATTTTATTGTTTTTTTTTTTCATCATTCACTTAATTTAGTCGTTTCTACTTTTTACACATGTTTCTTCCTCTTTTGACAACTTGCATGGTGACAACTTTTTGTATTTCTTTTCTTTCCATTTTGTCGTTTTTAGTCGACTCGAAGTTTCAAAAATTCATATACATATTTCTCATGCATGAAAAGGAAAATATTCTTCCATTAGAACCACAACCATAGGTGTATAGATTAGAACATTAGTTATATGTAAGTATGTGAGCTAAGATGTATTAGTGGTTGGTGAAATGGATGTCTTTAGGAAATTTCTCAAATTTGGATATGTATGGAAACAAACTTTTAGAATTTATAACTTGGATGACATATTAGTGTTAACTTGGATGACATATTAGAACCTCTAACTTTTAGAACCTATAAATGACAAATATGATTTTAGTGATTTCTTAGAACACACGAGGTGCAACATAAGTTATTTATGTTTATTTTTCTATTTTCTTTTTATATAAAGAGTGCAAGTAAGTTTTAGTATATATAAAAATTTATTGTACATATAAAGTATGAGTAAGGTTTATTGGGTTTAGTAGAATACATGAGATGCATCATAAGTTGTTAACACTCATTTGTTTTTAAAGGGTGCACAATAAAAAAAAATTTCACACCATCCTTTTTTGTCCCTTATTTTCTATTTTGTTATTTTCAAGAAAATAAAATAGATTATTATTTTTGTTTCACGTTATCATACTACAACCGTCATGAGATGATAAATTATTTTAAAATAAAATATTGTATAATTATACCACACTTTAATTATAATAAGATATTGCAAGAACTGATTTCAATTACAAAACAATGTATTAAACAAAGTACATGGAAAGTAAATCTTTTATGAAAGTTTCAAAAACCTCCAATGATAAAGTTACAGGCACGGAACATTCTACACAACCTTCCACCACGCTTTCATAGGCTATTTCTTTAATACATTTGGTGTGTTCGCAATACTCACGTGTAGAATGATCCGTGCCTGTAAACTGCTACTGAAAAGCAGGTCCTGCTTTTCTTCATCATCAAAGGCAGTCCATTTTTCCTTCTTCTTCAAACGTAAGTCTTTTAAAAATGATATCAGATTGGGTTATATTTCAGACTAGTCTAGTCCTAACCGGTGATGTGAGACGTATCAGTTCCAACAATGATTGTCTAGCGCTGGCGGGATAGGCAATAAACGTTTGCGCTAAAAAAAGTGCGAAATTGGAACTATCATAACGGAAAGTTCTTACCATCGAAACGAGTAGTTACATGAAACTTCACCAAAATATATGTATTGTCAAAAAAATCGTTCAGTATATATAAATGAAAAATATGATTTTAGTGATTTATTAGAAGACATGAGGTGCAACATAAGTTATTTACACTTATTTTTCTATTTTCTTTTTATATAAAGAGTGCAAGTAAGTTTTAGTATATGAAAAAAATTATTGGGTATATAAGATAACATGCTTGTAAGATGATAAACGTACTTCAAATGTTCATTTCCCGTTCGAAGGCAGCAATACAAAGCAGTGTAGTGGCGAACATCTACAATCTGTACGTTGAATCTTTCAGTCTGAAGAAGTAGAGCAACAGCTTCTATATCTCCAGGGTAGAGTGCAATCAAGAAGTTTATAAGTAAGAAATATCATCTGCAATATTAATGTAATACAAATTCATTTAAAATTATACATGGACAGATGTGATTAGAAATGAAGTGACCCTACTTCTGCCGTCATGGTACTTTTCAGTCTCATTAACCAGTTTTTTCTATAGAGCTCCATCTAAAAGAGCTCAATTGTGGAGAGCCGACCATCGCTTTAAAAAAAAAAACGTCAAGACTTTTTTGACAGCACACTCAAAAGTAGTATTTCTACTTTCTCAACACTCAACTTCAACAAAATGACCAAATCTTTTAAATAATCTTCCAACACGCTTTAGTAGACTATTTCTATGATACGTTTGGTGTGTTCACACATTAGTTCTTTTTAATCCTATCAAAATCACAATTCAGTTCAATCACCATAATCATCACCTCTAATCTATCACTAACAACCTATCATTCACCATAAACTATATTTGGAGTTCTACGTAATATTGTTTTTATAGTATGAGCTCAGAACCTCAGGTGATAGATTGCCACTCATATATTTGGATCGTTAGGATCAATATGTAAATAAAACAATATGTCATTCATTCTAATAAGTTGTGGATGACAATTACGAAACAAAAGCAAAATAACACTTGAAAATTTGTTATATTTATAACTAATATTATAATTATTTTGTGCGAACATAGTGTCACATCGGTCATAGTTTATTCCTCCTTAATCCTCTTTGATTTTTCCTTTTTTGACTATGGAGAAAATAACACATTGTGAACGAGGCTAATAATTCACCCTTACTCATTTACCACCTCTCTCTATTTACACTAATTAATTCACCAACGTATAAAACTAATTATTTACATCCTCTCTCTACCAACCCAACTAAAATTTAAATGCTTATAAACTAATTATCATAAGCATTCTCCTCCTTTAACATTTCATTTAAACCATGTTAACTCATGTTTCGGTTTGCTTTACTTATTTTCCATGTAATAGGGCAAATGAATTCCGCCACTTTTAATTAATGCCTTACCGTTGTTTTTAAAGTCTAACCTTGATGAAATTTCCTTTCGGTAATTAATGCTAGATAAAAATTATAAATTTTCATAAAAATCATAAATGAAAAAATAAAATGAAATGTTTAAATTTAATTATTATCCAAATCCAAATTCTTAATTATTTATTTATTCATTTCATGCTCATTTGAAATTGAAAAAAAAAAATGAGAATTCAAAGGGAAATTCCTTTCATACTCTATTAATATTTTGTTTTTGCTACTATAAATACATGTACTACTAATACACTTACATTGTTATTTACTTAAAAACAATGTTTTATGTGTTTCATTGCATTAGTTGAAGATAATATTATGAAATGAAAAATGCTAACTTGCTACATAAATTTTTGTAGTTACTAAAAAATAATGTTTTATGTGTGTATTATATTAGTTGAAGATAATATTATGAAGTGAAAATACTAACTTGCTAAGTAAAAAACATGATCACAATCATATATTCATGTTACATGTTGATACATCATGAAATTACAAAATATATCAATATAATTCAGACATAAGTTACCTTGATGGTCGTGAAATTTTTTGTTCATATAGTTTTTAACCAAGTTATTTTTTTATCTAGGAAAAACACCAATATTATGGTAAAAAAAATTCACATGAAAGATCATGCTCTGTATGCATTTTTCATCTCAACGAACTGAATTAAACATCTCTATCTTATTAAACAGAATACAATAAATATTTCTCTAATGCAACTCATGTTTCATTATTTCTACATCCGTCATTTCTATTTTCTAGCTTCCATGCACACTTATGAAGATCAGTGTCTTCACTATATTGTCAAATGCAATTTTCATGCCTTTATTTTTATTTATATTTTCTAGACATAATTCATTTCTTTGTCATGTATGCATGACGATAAACAGCTTTGGATCAAGTTCATATGAATATATAAAATTTCGTCGCAAGTTTAAAGATTGGATAGATTTTATGGTTGAAATTTTAATAAATCTTTTAAGAACCTACATTTATTAATTGAATTGTATTTTCTTCATTTTAAACCGAAAGTCAACAATTTTGTACATAAAAGTAAATTAACTATGATATAAAAAAATGATATTCATTTATATTTTTTGGTTAAAAATTGTTAATCATGTATACCACCTTGATATTGAATTAATGTTGGATGATATGTAAGGTGGAGACAAAGTGTCTCTATTACTAACATTTTTATATAATTACTAATAAAGATAATACACTACTATATATGTATAGGCCGGTAGAATAGAAGTGCAACTAGACCTTCATTCCATGCTCATGTTATACAATTGTCTAGCCCTTTTATTTAGTGAACGGCTATTTTTCGGCCGGTCGCCGACCTCGTCGCACCGGCCGAAAATTTTTTTCGGCCCGCCGACGCCGCGGCCGCAAATTTTTTTCGGCCGGCCGACGAACACGCCGCCCCAAAAATTTCCGGCGGCGTGTTCGTCGGCCGGCCGAAAAAAATTTGCGGCCGCGGCGTCGCCGGGCCGAAAGAAATTTTCGGCCGGCCGTCGCACCGGCCGAAAAAATCTTTCGGCCCGGCGACGCCACGGCCGCAAATTTTTTTCGGCCGGCCGACGCTCCGGCCGCAAATTTTTTTCAGCCCGGCGGCGCACCGGCCGCAAAATTCTTTTGGCCCGGCCAGTTTTTGTATTTAATTTAATTTAATACCATAATTAATTAATAAATAAATAAATACTTAATTGGTTAGTAGAAATTAGCAATTAGTGTTAATATTTATTTCAGTTGGTTTATAAATGTTTTTTTTTTGTAATAGGCGTTTGAATGTTTAATTACTTAGATTAGTTAATGGAATTTTAATTAATTAAGAATGTTAATATTCAGTACATTAATTAATAGAAATTTAATTTAATTTCTTTCGGCCCGGCCAGTTTTTGTATTTAATTTAATTTAATACGATAATTAATTAATAAATAAATAAATACTTAATTGGTTAGTAGAAATTAGCAATTAGTGTTAATATTTATTTCAGTTGGTTTATAAATGTTTTTTTTGTAATAGGCGTTTGAATGTTTAATTACTTAGATTAGTTAATGGAATTTTAATTAATTAAGAATTGATTAATTAGTGCGCATCTAAGTATGATATTTTGTAAATTTGTAGATAATTAGATATGGATGATGCGGGTCATGCGGGTGGGGATGAGTTGAATAGATTCAATGGTAGGGTTGTTGATGTATCAGCACGAAGGAAGAATAAGGAGAATACGCGCTCTCGAGATATTGGACATCAGTCACAGGCAAATTTAGGGGAGGATGAGTTAGAGGCTCCTACTGTAGTTGCTCGTTCGGCATCACGGGCGTCTGGTTCCCATGGGAGGAACCAGGGTGCTGCATCCAGAGTGGTCTCGGCTGAGTTTGATGAGGATGATAGTGATGAGGATATCGAGGTCCCTCCACCTACGCGTGGACATGGACGAGTGTCGTCTCGTACGGCAACATCACGTCCTGCTTTGTATAGGGACCGAGCTGGGCGCTTCGTACCACCTGCTCGTCAGGAGACAGAGAGCTCGGGGACTGGACGGAGTAGGGGAGGACGTTCGAGTGGTCCTCCACCGTGGGAGCTTGTTGGTGAGTGTCCTGGTGGACCTACGGATCCTAGCCTCATTAGGAGCTTTCGTGGACACGTTGCCTATGCGCTTTGGACGGGGGCTGGAGATCGAGGGGTCATCAGTTGCTACAGCCGTACATCGGCGGTTGCTTATTTGAGTAGCTACGTGTTTAGTCATGTTGAGGCGGAGAATCTGGTTCAGCAGTCAGGTCTCCAGCACCTGATGTACTCTATGTTCCGCAGGATAGCGATTGACGATGCTTTGATCTCAGCTTTTGTGGAGAGGTGGCAGCCAGACACGAACACCTTCCACTTGCCTTTTGGAGAGATGACGATCCTCCTCCACGATGTTCAGTACTTACTGCAGATTCCTGTTGAGGACCTCTTTCTTCCACCTCAACAGTAAGACGCCTAAAGTGTTCTCGTTGAAGCTCAATTTCATCACTGACTTGTTGTTGACGTGGGGGGTTTTTATAATCCAAAGTCCGCCAAAATACATGCAACTCTTGAGCATAGAATTGACGTCCTTCTTCCTTAGCTTGAACAATCTGGCAAGCACACTTGAGCCCATGTGTCATCTGAAAATGACACGCACAACTGTCCTTCAACTCCGCCGCCCCATCTAACATCAGTTTGATTGCCTCAGAACTAACGACCCTCCTCAAAAACGTGCACGGAGCCTCAATTGCCCTACTCAGATTGCGGTTCAGTGACTTGTGCAGTTCATTCACCACTTCCAGAAACTGATGTTCCATGTAGTTGTGGTTCTTCGCAAAACAAGTGTCGATCGCTCCTCTACCAGACACAAGGAAAGTCTTGAATGAAGAGTGAGATGACTCAACTCTATTCGAGCTCGTGTTACCAAGATGAAACACATGGTTCGTGTAGCACATTGCCCACATTGTCTGATGAGGCAACCACTCACCTCGCACGTAGTCGACCATTTTTTTGTTCTTCACTGTCCAGACCCTCTCAAACTCATTAATCTTTTGAAGAAAACCCTCCTGAGTCCAACTCCATGCAGCTTTGTCGAAATATTTCTTCCATACCGCATGTGCTACCTCTCTTTTTGCAATTCCACCAAGTAACACTTCAAACTTTTGCTTCACACAGTTGTTGACGTGCCATAAACATAGTAGGTGGACAGTATGTGGGAGAGGGAAGACCACAGGAATAGAAGCAAGCAAACCACCTTCTTTGTCTGTCACAATGACATTCGGAACCGTATCACCGAGCAACCCTTTAATACATCGCAGCAGCCACTCATATGTTTCCTTTGTTTCCTGCTTAATAATTGCACATGCAATGTTGAAATTCTTCTTCACTGGAGTAACCCCAATAATCTCAACCCATGGCCAGCCGTACCTGTTGGTCTTGTAGGTCGAGTCAATGAGGATGACGTACGGCCATGCATGCAACATCTGAATGGACGTCGGGTGCGCAAAAAACAGATTAGTGAGCACATTATTAGAGTCCTTTTGCAAACAGATATGGTACCCACGATGTTCAGCTCCGTGAAGCGCAAACTGTATCGCATCCATTTCACCCATCTCATCCAATCTTGTCTTGGAATTTATGTTGTACATCTGTTTGATATCATGATGCACACCCCCTTCAGTATTGAGTGTCGTCTTCTGCTGATTTGGTCTCACCCCCGCCTTCCTCATTAATCTTAACCTCTCTTTTTCAGCCTCACTAAACTGTTTGTTGTGTCGGTGATGTTCTGGATACAACACCTTTTCATGGTTGTGAAACCCTCTATTAGCTCCGGTTTCACGACTTGTCACTCCCACCATGACCCATGTGTTTGGACCATCCTTTTGCCATACTTCCTTTATACATATCTGAAACTGGCAACCAGTACCCTTCGAACTAATATTCTCACGCGTCTCCTTCGTAGGGTCTGGTTTATAAGACTTAACGATCCTACTACTTCTGTCGCAATACATACAGAGGGCAGTAACAGGATTCTGTCCAGCAGTATTCGGTTTCCATGATCCTCTAACAATAAAGAACCCACACTGCTGAGCGATTGTTCTTGCAGCTAACTCAGCTAACTCCACACTTGCATAATGGATCCCATTCTCAAATTCATGTGTGTAATCATGATCGGCCGGTAACAACTCTGACATTTTTCCTACAATTACAATATAATATCAATATTCCTGTGAACCTAAACGCTAATTTCAATTCTTAACCGCTAAATTCAACTCCTAAACTCTAAATTCAATTCTTACACGCTAAATTCAACTCCTAAACTCTAAATTCAACTCCTAAACTCTAAATTCAACTCCTAAAATCGAATTTTTCCGAAAAATTGCAAAAACAGACTGTGAGCCGAAAATTTCCGGTGGCCGGAACCTGGCCGGGCCGAAAATTTCCGGTGGCTGGAACCTGGCCGGGCCGAAAATATCTTGCGGCTCAGCCTGGTTCCGGCCGCCGGAATTTTTCGGCTCGGCCAGGTTCCGGCCACCGGAAATTTTCGGCCCGGCCAGGTTCCGGCCGCCGGAAATTTTCGGCCCACCGTCTGTTCGTTTCAAATCGTCGGAAAAATTGTTCGAAACTACAAAAAAATTACGCACCTGCTTAGTGATGATTCATTGATGCGTGTACGCAGTATATGTCGAGGATAGGCTTTCCCGATGATTTTCCGGCGAGCGTTGAATTTTTCTGATTCAATATGTTCTCTGAAAGTTGGATATGTTGTAGATTGTGAAACTCCTTACCCTACTATGTATATATATACTTTTTTTTTTTTTTTTTTTTGGTTGGCGGCAAATAGCAATTTGGTTGGCGGCAAATAGCAAGCCCCTTTATTTATCTAATCCATGTTGAGTAGTGACAATAAACTAAGTACATATCAATATAAGCTTACCATCAAAGCGTGCGAAATTGGAACTCACATAATGGGAAATTCTTACCATCAAAGCGAGTAGTGACAAGATCAAACTTCACCGAATCCATGAGTGAACAAACAAAACAACCAGAGGCATCGAAAAAGAACCTGAAAAAGAACCCTATGCTGAGAATACGAGGAGAAGCAAATACCAGGCCGAACAAGGAAACCGCAGGCAGCAAATCGTAGAAACAATAGTAGAAGCAGCCGAAATAATAAAGGACAGAAAGGAGTGGGCGAGCAACCGAAAAGATACCCAATAACACAACTGAGCAATCCGAAAAGAAGCAACCGGAGATAGATAGGAAGAGCAGCCGAGACCACGAAGAAGAAATCTCTAATAATGCAGTCAAGCAGACAGGAAATAAGCAGGCAAAAGATACAGAAAAAGCAACCGAGAACACACAGAAGAAATCCCCAGATGAGCAGCCAACAAGTCTCAGATGAGAGGTTCTAGGGATGTTCAAATGATTACCGTGGTAATAACCAAACCAATTAAGCCTAAATTTCATTAACCATGTAATAAAATGTCTTAACCAAACCGTCCAAATTAACACGAAAACCAAATTAATCAAACCAAAGTTTAACTGGTTTGGTTAATCGGATAATCGAATTAAAAAAATAACATAACATTACATGAAACAAACAAAAACTATCATTTTATATAAGCAATAATAATAAGACTAACCATCCATAAATATAATCATCATTCAAGTTAATACATCATTCATCATCTTTGCACCTAATATAGGTAGCTTACAACAAACCCCTAAACATAAATACATACCAATACCCCTCATCAGGAAGTTAAAGCTCTCCTACAAAACACTTAAACTATACATAGTTTGAGGTGGTAGTCATGGTATTGTACGTAATCCTAAAGTCTAGAAGTTGTTCAAAATGTTTTGGTTTAGTAAATATAGGCAGGCCCATTTAATTTTTTTATCCATAATGTTTTGGTTTGTTGTGCACATGGAAATAAAATAGGGAATCACGAAAGTTTGGTTTGGTTGGTTTCATGTAAGTATAAACAATTTTGTATATTAGGTGTATCATTAATTGGTTAATTGGGTTCATTGGTTAGCAGTGTTGAAACCAGACCAAATTAGCTAAATTATTTAACCAAACTAATTATCCAAATTAACCAAACCAAATTAACCGAATGCTACCGGTTAATATGGTTACCACGGCAACCAATCCGTTTGAACACTCTTACGAGGTTCTGATACCATGATAAATATGAAAATTAAAGAGACAAGAAAACTCGATTTTACCTAGTTTCCCTGAGATTCAGGACTAGTCCACAGAAGAGGTAGAACTCTCCAAAGTCAATCTTATTCAACTTAGGTTTTCTGTACAACAAAGATACAATATATATGTTGTGGCTCGGCAATATTACAATCCTAGTCAGTCTATCTAGTTAACTCTTTTAATAATGAATATTTACCAAAAGCTAGCTAAATAAGACTAAGTCATCATTTTGACATCAACTGGTGAAGAACCAAACAGGTTCATAGTTTTCAACGAGCCCGAGCCAATGCTACGTCATTTAAGACCTCTTTCCATCAAGTCCACCTTGGATGACGTACGAGTGTTGAAATTTGATGCCCACACGGATGCTAAAGAAGATAGGCAAAGTATGAGTGACTTAATCCCAACATAGGTGTTCGTGACTAAATTCAATGGGGGATCTACTTCTACTAGGGGAATTCTCCCAATCGTCGTGGGAGTTGGATCACAGAAGCGATGAGTGCTTTCAACAAGTGTGTTCCTTCGTCATGGAAGGAGGAACGTGCAATGTCATAATTTCAAGCGCAAATGTGTTGAGTAAGGCATGCTTGAATCGTGAGACCATCGATGTTTGCATTAGATGGTCCACCTAAGACAGAAAAACAAGTCGATGATGAGTAACCACCTTGAGAGAAGGTAGCGTAGGCCGAAATTACGGCCCTGCGGGAGAAGTTAGTCGTGCATCAATATAAATAGAGGGGCTTGTCTGCATGGAGGCTGTGTTGATGGCAGACTGCGTTCTTGACACGATGATGATTTGCCGACCAACGGTGAGGATGCGATTCCCGAGGTGGAAGAAGGAAATCATGTTGCTATAGTTTTGGAAGAAACCAATCTTCATTAGTGCCAATTGGGCGGTACTGAACGAGTTAATTGAATTTCTAAATGAATTTAATTGTTGTTTTAGTTGTGATTATTATGTAATGTTCGCGGAGTTTAGGGCAATCATGCTACTCGGCCAATTTATTCAACTATTTTGATTATGACACATTGAAGAATAGAAGCCAGCGACATTGCATCAACATAATCACGATCGTTGGAATAGATTTGATGTCATTCTATATGTTTTTCTTCCACAACGATCTCTTAATAAGGAAAGGAGGGCCAAATATTATCGTGTTGGCCTTAGCCATGATGCAAAGGTGTTGGTGCAACTTTATTGTTATTTTCTCATCAACATTGTTGGGGGGCATGGTGCTGCTAGGTACAATGCTGCTGAAGTAAACAGAGAAAAAAATTTAAAACCCTTTAAAGCAAGGGTCAACTTAATCCCAGCCGATGTGGTATAATACCAAATTGTTTTTCTTCTCCTAGCTTAAATGGAGAATTTTTGTAGGCCAATAAAACCAAGCACTAGCCACAATGCTTAGTTTTACCTAGGCCAACAATGAGGATGGCAACAGGTTGATTTTGCTTTGGTAGACTATGATGTGGTTGGATAGGAAGAGTAATAAATTTTGGCCAAAATATAAATATATGTGGCTGAAAATATGGAGCAAAACAAAGTTGTTTTAGCTAGGAGAACAACTTTGCGATGGAGGTAAACAATGTTGTTTTGACCTAGACTGTGGTTAGGGGTGTGCAATGGTTCGGTCTGGGACCGAACTACACCGAACCCAACCGAAGTTTAGATATGACTGCATCATACTGAGTATAATGCTTTTCGGTTGTTGGTCCACATGAATTTTATAATTACTGAAGAAATGAAAGTCTGATCCATGATCTTAAGATGTCTTTTATTAATGGACCGCGATTCTTATTAATTTGGTCTTGTCTGGATTGGACCGAACCGTTGCACACCCCCTAATTGAGGCTATGAGCCTATAGCACCTGGTCAATATATAGAAAAAATGAAAAACGATGCAACCCTGCGGAGTACAGGAATGGAAGTTAAATCCACTGTGTCGGCCAAGCAGAGCCAATAGTGGTCAATAGAAGAAAGGAGAAGTTAATTTCAACCAAAACAACACTATGGAAGGAGAAAGAAAAATCAGATTAGAGAACGACGATGGTCAACAAAATGAAAGGGTGACCAAACATGGTCATTTTGGTTCAAAACGATGAAAGAGTTTCTGTTTTGTTCCTCTTCTTAACAGGGTTAATTGCAAGGTTGGTCATTGGGATTACTAAAAACGTTCATGTTTGACCATTAAAAATATTTAATTCCATTCGTGGTCGCTAAAATTAGTTAAACATATCAAGTTTGGTCAGTCTCCATCCAACTCCGTTAACTTTTGCTTATGTGGCAGTCAACTTTTATAGTTGAGCGTTAAATGTGTGACATGACAATTAAAAGATAATAAAACAAATAAAATTTAATTTTAAAATTTTCCACCTCATTTCTAACTGCTTCTCTGCAGAACTCCTTCCAGCTCAACGACGTTAATGGCACTGGTTCCACACCATGTCGTGATGCCGGCGATAACTCATTATCCGCCTTCATCGCCTTAAAGGTCCCCTCGCCACCATCACGGACTTCCCCAATCTTCCTCTTTCTAATCCCGCCGCAACAGTCACTCAATTTCGGTGGGGGAATGAGTCAGAATTCCTACTGGCTTGAAGTGGGAAGTTGAGGATGGCTCTACCGCCACGGAGACGGAAGGAGGCGATGTCATATGCTTTGGTGGTCTCATTCCTAGCCGAATTCCCTTCGATTGATTCCTTCATCTCGCACTTCCAACAATACCAAACCCCCTTCAACGCTCCTTCTATTTCATTACTATCTCATTCTCCTTCTGACTGCAACGATACCTTAAGCTAGAGGAACCATCCATATCCAACATCTCCGTCCCCAACCTCCCACGTCCCTCCAAACCCGATCAACCCGAATCCAGCTCCATTCCGATCTCAATAATTATGTGGACGACGAAAAGCACTACCGAGGGGTTAGATGGAGGTCGTGGGCGATGATGCAACCCGACTTTCCCCTCTCCGACTCCACCACTCGTCCACTCCAGATCTCTTTCCCCTCTTCGATTCCACCACTCTGGCGAGTCGCTCCCAGATTTATAAAGAGAGAAACCAAACCGAAGATACTGCTTCCCGTGATTCCTATCGATTTTCACTAGATCTTCACTATCTTCAGCAAGCCCCATCCTCTTCTTCGTCTCCTTGTTTCTTCTTGAGTTTTATCCAAAACCAAATCCCTAGAGCCAAAAAACCAACACGCCCGATTGTGATGCCTGCAATTGTACTAGATGAAAACCAATTCAAACGTGAAGTTGGCAATATGAAAACAAGGAGATTGGTGGTGGTGTTGAGGTCACTTGCTGCTGGCCGTATCGCTGAAACTCCAAGCTAAACCCCATAGAGAGACAAAGCTTCCAGAGGAATTTTATATATTTTATTATTTTTTAATTGTCATGTCACACGTTTAACTGTCAACTATAAAAGTTGACAGCCACGTAAGCAAAAGTTAACGGGGTTGGACGGAGAGTGACCAAACTTGAGATGTTTAACTAATTTTAGTGACCACGAATAAAATTAAATATATTTAGTGACCAAACATGAACGTTTTTTATAATCTCAGTGATCAACTTTGCAAATAACCCCTTCTTTAACAACTTCGTTTCGGCCTCAAAGTGGAAAACAAGCATTGTTTTGTGCCGAAAAGTAGCAAACTGTATTGTCACGAAACAAGGCAAGGGAACAATATTACCAAATTGTGATGGTGAAAAAGATTGGCCAAAGGTTGCTTACATTAAATTTTGTAAATGACGTTTTGATTGCCAAAAAAAAAATGCGAGGCTCTCTGGCCTCTCTCCTCTGCCTCGGCTCGCTGTTCGGCAACTGGCTGATCGGGGTTGTAGTGGCGGTATTTGCCACAAGCTGGAAGAATCAAACGGCGGAAGATTGGCAATCGCCCCAAGATTCGAGCCGTTTCAAGGCACGGCCCAGGGCGGGGAAGGCTGTAAAGATACCTTCGCCAGAGAAGATCACGCGAGCGGTGGAATGTCGAACGGATCGACGTCCTTACCAAAATAAGCGCTTGCGTTTATCAAATGAAGCTGGAAGCCTAGAGGAACAACCTCTTAAGCGGCTGCGACATAAATCCAAGAATCAATGGCGATTCTGGCTCCCCCATTCGTCGGAGATGGAAGGGGAAGAACCACTTCGTCCCCCGTTCGCGGGAGGAAATTCGTCGGACAAAACAAACAAGTGTGAGCACCTGGCACCAGAGGCAGGCCTTGATCGGCTACTGGTAGTAGGGAAGGGGATATGCCCCAAGAAATTAGGCAGGGCAGGTAATCTTGTTGATCAATTTGATCAGAATCCCTCGGGAAGAGATAGTCCCTGTGTGCGAATGGAGGAAGAAAGGGAGGCTGTCAATAACGAGCCATACATGGGCAGCTCCGCCGCGGAGAAGAGTAGCGAGGTGGTGGAGGCCGCCGATCTTCGATGCCTGCTGATGTGGCGGCACGATACTAGGGCGGTTAGGATAGTTTGGAATCATCAGACCCCTCTTATGTTGAGCGGGATCTTCGGGAGAGATATCCGGAGCAAATTGCGAAGAAATCCCACGCAGCAAAGGTATCCGACTTCAAGTGGAATTCGAATTCCCAATAGTCTCTGGGAAGCCCGTCTCTGCTTGGGAAATTCGGAATATTCAGGCTATAAAAACAATGGGTTGCACTCTACTCGGCCACCAAATCTGGAGCGGTGGTGTGCGAGTATTCCGGAAACCCAATCGGCGAGCTTCTACAGAAAGCAGGAGGCGGACCCCGATATTGATTCAGGTAAGCAAGACTCGTGTTGCTTAACCTCCTCTTGTGGTGTGATGCGTGACTCCAGTGAGATCGGGAGCGGCATACAATCGCCGGGGAGCGCCGCGGAACGACGGGCGGTGGCGGGAGAGGTTTTTGCCCCGCCGGAGATGGCCTCTGTTGCGCCGTCGAACCCAGCCTTCGGGCGTAAACGCGGCGACTCTCTTGCCCCGGTGGCGATGGACGCGGCTGAGCAGTGGGACTCTGCCTTCGGGCTTCATAGCGGCGGCGAATTCACCCTAGGGTGTAAGGGAAGTTGGGTGGGGAGGCTGGGGGGAAGGGGTCGCTGGGTCGGGTAGGCCAGGCCACTTCTTTTGGGCCGGTAAATGGGATGGGCCTTTGGGCCGCATGTGGGCTATTTGGCCAGTTTGGGCAGGTGGGCAGACCAGCCACCAGTGGGCCAGTTGGGCCTGTCCTTGCCTTCGGGCTTATTAAAAACAGACCCCCAAGCCCAGTGTCCATTGTTTCAAATTCCAAAATTATTAATCCTTTGGGTTTATCGTTGAACCCATTGCAGGAAATAACCTCGTTTAATGGGCCTAATGAGTTACTTGTCTATGATTGGCAGGTGAATATGGCAGCTCGAATTGCTGAGGATCAAGTTGTCGAGTTCTCATTGGAGGAAGTCCAATCGGTGAGGTTTCGAACCTCTAGGACTCTTCTGGGAAGGCTCTTTTCGGAGGCCCAATTTACTGCTGCAGAATTGAAAGAGGGACTTGTAGAAGCTTGGCGGGTGAAAGGAAACCTTAGGGTTTCACTTACAAAATTTGGCTTGTTCGAAGTGGTATTGCCCAGTGATGAAACAAGGGTGTGGGCCCTGAAGCGGTCACCCTGGATTGTCAAAGACAGGATCTTCCATCTTCGATCCTGGACACCAGAGATTTCCAGACACACTTTTGAGGAGTTAGCTTTTGCACCCTTTCGTGTTCAACTCTGGAATGTGAAGGATGACTGCTGCACTAAGCAGTTTGGCTAGAAAATGGCATCGGGGAAGATCGGGCAGGTCTTGGAAGCAGACGTCTTCGCGTCAAAGGAGACAGATGAGCAGTTCGTAAAAGTGCACGCGCTCATTAATTTTGCTAAGCCATTGCGATCGCAACTTATGGCGGTTAGCGCGGAGCTTGGCGAGTTCTGGGTCAACCTCAAGTACGAGTTCCATCCCACCGTTTGCTTCCACTGTGGGCGTGTAGGGCATTCTAAGCGTGACTGTGTCTTTGATCCCCCGCCGGGGAAAGAACGCTTTGGCCCTCACATGACAACGAGAAAGCTCGGGCGCAAGGTTTACATGGAGGAGGATAACTTTTCGAAGTTTCGGGATACAAGCTAGCCAGTGTGGATCAACAGGAATGTCCGCATGCAGAATGTCGGTAACTCAAAGATTGTCAAGGGGCGAGTGGAGGATGTGCCGAGGGTGCCCTCTACAAATACTCCGATGCGGGGAGGACTCCACCAGGGGGCCCACCATGACCGGCCTACAAAACCAGATGAGCAAGTTAACATGACAACTCAGCCTAGGCTGCGAGAACCCACCAGGCAGAAGGCCGGGGAGCATACTAGTCCAAAAAGATTTAGCTTCAAGAAGTCCCTTAGGGTGAAGCTTGGTGGAGGGGTGAGGTTACTGCAGAAGAAGCGGTCCCCTAAGGAAAATACCAATATGGTACAGCAGGATGCTCAAGGTCGCAAACAGACAAGTAGACGCAAGACTCAAGCTCCAAAATCGAAGGAGGAGACTGATCCAGTGGAGTTAATCCTCGAGGAATCCAGAAGGAGGAGACTGATACTGCAGGATGAATCTGAAGAGGAGGAGAATGTGAGGTCTGCTGATATATTGAAGAAGGCTGCTCAGGCGCCTGTTGGCAAAGCAGGGGGCGCGGGTTCTCGGGGTCGCCTGCGGCTGAAAAAAGTAGGAGCTCGCTCCCCACGGTCGTCGCCCACCCAGGTTGATGAGATTAATCCTACTGGGGAAATACAGGATTTGGAGGACAAAGATTATGGGGACGACTTTGAAAATCCCAAAATGGAGATGCAGCATCAGGGATCTGATTCGGATGAGGACCCATCACTGGAGGCATCCCATGCTTTTGAAATCAAGCGCCGATCACCCTCTGGAGTTACCAAGGAGGTCTCTCATGACAAGAAAGGCCGAGTTCATCAAATGGTGGAAGCTTTTGAAGCAGGACGTGGCATTGACCAGGTGGAGGCGAGTTTGGCTCTGAATGAGTGTGGGTCTAATCTGGAGGACCCAATCATGGAGAATAGGAAGCGAGTGATTGAGGAGGTGGAGGGGGCTGTAGGGGACCCTCCTACTTCGAAGAGACAATTTGTGGAAGCAGTGGATGCCCAGGAAAAGGTGGAGGAAGCCAGCCTCGAGTGGCCCCAGTGGATAAATGAGGCTTCTGGCCTGGAATGTGAGAGGAATTGGGCCATCCCTCACCTTCCATTCTGCTTTAGGACTTGTTCATTCTAATAAACCGGATGTAGTGTTTTTTTCAGAAACACGGTCGAGCCGGCGTGTAGTGGCCCGCCGTATGCGGGGTTTGGGTTTTGAGATTTCTCGTTGTTTTTTTGTTGATGCAGTCGATGCATCGGGTGGGTTAGTTGTTGCTTGGGCCCCTGGGGTTAACACTTCGGTGTTTTGTTCTTCCCAGTTTTATATTTGTTTGCAAATTAATGAAGGTGATTCTTCGTACTTGGTGTATTTTGTTTACATTAGTTGTAATGTTGCTGTTCGTGATAGCCAGTTGGCTCATTTGCGTGATCTATGTGCGGATATTCACCAACCATTCGTGATCATTGGTGATTTTAACGCCATTCTCCATGAGGGAGAAAAAGATGGGGGTCGGGCTTGGAATGCGGCTCAGGCCACCAGTCTGAGGGATCTAGTTCATGATTTGGGTCTCCATGACCCAGGGTACCAAGGGGATCAGTTTACCTGGACCAACAGGCGAATGGGGGAGGCGTGTATTCGCGAATGGCTGGATAGGGCCCTCTGCTCCCAGTCCTGGATAGATATGTTTCCTGAGACTTTGGTCAAACATTTTACGGATCAGGGGTCAGACCATCGTGCCCTCCTTCTTGCTGACAAGCCTTACACTCGAAATAGCCGACCCCTGTTCCGGTTTGATGCTCGTTAGGCGGAGAACCCGGAAGTTAGGGCTATGGTCCGTTATATCTGGCAGGAGGAATTGCAAGGTACCCCTATGTTTCGACTCTGGGAGTGCCTTAAGAAACTCCGTCACCTGTTATATGATTGGAGTAGGGCGGGCACCACTAACTCCTTGCGAAATATTAAGACTCTCCAGGCTGAGATTGACCGAGTCAAGTCCATACTTCCGGTGGATTGGGATGCGGTTCGATCCCTGGAAATGGAATTATCTCGCCAATGGGATGCAGAGGAGCTATACTGGAAGCAAAAATCCAGGGTCCGTTGGCTAAAGAAAGGGGACCAAAATTCAGCGTATTTTCACACGGTTACGCGTACGCGTCGAAAAAGAAATTTTGTTGCTGGTCTACGGGATGAGGAGGGTGAGTGGGTTACTGATGAGAGTGGCAAGGCTAGGATTGCTACCAGCTTTTACCAAACTCTGTTCACTTCGGAGTCCCGGGTGCTAAATATGGCGGATAGGGTGGCAAACCTTCCCATTCCTCATATGGTTACACCGCAAATGAATGAGATTCTAACGGCGGTGGTTTTACCAGAGGAGGTTCGAAAAACTGTTTTTTCCATGGGATCGAAGCAGGCTCCGGGATCGGATGGCTTTACCGGAAAATTCTTCAAAGCTTTTTGGGATGTGGTGGGGGGCTCGGTGATTGAGGCGGTTTGCTCTTTCTTTTCGACTAGTCGAATGTTACGGAGCTTCAATCATACGTGGCTTACGTTGATCCCTAAAGTGGATTCTCTGGAAAATGTCCGCCAGCTACGTCCGATCAGCCTCTGCCAGTTTGTTTATAAAGTGATAACCAAAATCATGGCAGAGCGGCTGGCTGGCTTGCTTCCTCAACTTGTTTCTGAGGGGCAGAATGGGTTTATAAAGGATAGGCAGATTATTGATAATATCCTTCTTGGGCATGAGTTAATGCATTATCTTAAAATAAAACGGCAGGGGAAGAAGGGGTACATGGCTCTTAAGGTTGACATGGAAAAGGCCTATGATAGAGTTGAATGGCCTTTCCTTCTGGCTGTTTTGGATAAGATGGGCTTTAATTCTATCTGGCAAGGATGGATACAAGAATGTCTTAGCTCGGCTACGTTTTCGGTTCTGATGAATGGTACGCCTTCAGGCTTTTTCATGTCCACTCGGGGAGGGTTAATTTGGAGTGCGAGAATCTAATTGTGGTGCTAAATGAGTATGAGAAGCTGAGTGGGCAGAGGGTTAATTTGGAAAAGTCGGCAGTATGCTTTAGCAAAAATGTTGCCTTGGAGGATCAGGAGTTTTTGGCTGCGATTCTTGGGGTCAAAGCAGTAGGAGTACATGATAAGTACTTGGGATTGCCCACGTTGATTGCTCGATCCAAAATGGAGACATTCCGATATCTGGAGGAGAAGTTACTGGCGCGTTTGCAGGGCTAGAAACAGAAAATTTTATCCTGGGTGGCTAAGGAGACCTTAATTAAGTAAATTGCTTTGGCGTTGCCCCTGTATGTTATGTCTTGTTTCCGGGTGCCCCTCTCCCTTTGTCGGTTATTGGATAGACATGTGGCCCGCTTCTGGTGGGGAGCTGAGGAGGGACATCCCAAGATTCGGTGGGTGTCCTGGCGGAACCTTTGTCGGAGTAAGCATGAGGGGGGGCTTGGATTTCGTAGGTTTGAACATTTTAATCAGGCCCTCTTAGCAAAGATTGGCTGGCGTATTCTCCAAGAGCCGCATTCCCTCCTGGCACAGGTGTATAAAGGGAAGTACTTTCCTCAGGGTTCTAGTCTATCTGCTATTGCCCGGTCTAGGCCGTCTTGGGGTTGGCAGAGTATCATGTTTGGGCGCCAGCTTTTGGAAGCAGGGTTAAGATGGCAGATCGGCAATGGCCTATCGGCCTCCCTGGTGCATTCTAAATGGATTCCTGGGCTTCAACTGGATCCTCCTTGCTATAACCCTCGTGTCCTGCCAAATGGGGGGGATCCCCTGGTGGCGGAGGTTATTTGTCAAGGGGAAGGGCGCTGGGATGAAAATAAGCTTAGGCAATGGTTTGACCCTTATGTCTGTTGGGCCATTAAAGCTATCCCACTTCCGAGGCGGAATGTGGATGATAAACTTATATGGCATAACACTGCTGATGGGGTGTTCTCGGTTAAGACAGCATACCATCTGGCGGTTGAGCTTGACAGGAGGAGGGGTGGGTGGCGAGATTCGGTGAGTTGGATGGATAGACAAAGCTGGATCCGGTTGTGGGAAGCTAAGATCCCTCCTAAGCTTAAAGTCTTTGTCTGGCAAATTTTGAATCGAGCCTTGCCAACCACAGAGGCGCTCAATGAAAAGAAGGTTCCGGTGCTCCCTCGGTGTCCGGTGTGTTGGGATGGTCCCGAGACTATGGAACATTTATTTCTTTACTGCCCGGTTGCGCGGGCTCTCTGGGATTTATCGGGGTTGGAGTATATAGGTGAAGCTTTGCCTCGGCACACTTTTCCACTATTTCTGAAGCGGATGCTTGCCCTGGTCCATGATCAATCGCTGTTTATGGCGGTGGTCGCCATCCTTTGGCGGATCTGGCGTTCGCGAAACTGGGTTGTCTTTGAGGGCAAACAGTTTGGGCTTCCGGCTTTAATGCGCCAATTTCATCAGCAAGTGGAGGAGTGGATGGGGCTGCCGGTTGACCAGCAGCCACGGGTGACATGCCAGGTGGACCGGCCAGGGAACCAAATGGATGATACTGGGTTGGTTTGCATGTGGGATGGGGCAACTAGGAGGGGCTCACATTCGGCTGGCGGATTGGTTCTTTGTGGTCCGGGTAGGACGGTCCTTCGGGCTAAAGGTGTGCAATTTGCACAAATTGATGATCCAATGGTGGTGGAATTGCTTGTGTTGCGTGAGGCTATCACTTGGTGTTTAGAGTGGGGTTTGTCCGGTGTTCGGTTCGAGGGTGATGCGAAGGTCATTATTGACAAGATTAATCAGGCCGATTCGCGGGACAATCGCTTGGGGGCAGTCTTGGACTAGATTTGTCAATATTTTGCTGCCTATCCAGGGTTTACTGTGCGGTTTATAGGTCGGGAGAACAATAGGGTAGCACATTTAGTTGCTAGAAAAGCCCTTTCTTTGTACCCAACTGGGAACCGTTATTTTGATTTCAGGGCCTGGCTGCTTTGCAGGATGTAACTATCTTTTTGATTGATTAATATATATTATCTTTTGAAAAAAAAAAAAAGATTGGCCAAAGTATAGCGTTGCTCTTGGTTGCAACTTGCAAGGGAAAAGAGACTTCAAACAATACTATATGGAGGTTAGGGATGGCAGAATTACCCTTGCCCATTGGGTTTTAAGTATCCAACCCAGGTGGGTCAGGTCTGAAATCCAAGTCAACTTTAAATGGGTAAAGTCTAATGGGTCAACACCCATACCCATAATGTTGGATCCAGTTGGGTTTTACCCATGGATTTGGGTTAAAAAACCCAAACCCAAGTAATTAAACGAAAAGAGAAAAAAAACATCACGGACTCGATCAGCTCTTCGGCTCTTCACTCTCGATTCAGACCGCTAGTTTCCCCTTCGACCCTTCTCACTTCTCAGATCGACCCACCGACGTCGATCTTCCTCAATATCGCCGACGGCTTCTAGGAGCAACCATCGTCGGCTTCCTCAATACCGCCGACGGCTTCGCGACTCGCCAGACGCCAGCTCCTCCTATCCCTCTCGATCGCTCGGATTCCGAAGAACAAGAGGGTCTGGGCATCTGGTCGCTTTGCCTCGTCGCCCACCCCCCAACACCGCCGGCGGTTTCGCGATTCGCCAGTTCTTGCTCTCCCTCCCGATCTCGAAGCACCCGTTTTCTCTTTTGTCAATCGGTGGGATTCCAGAGAACAAGAGGGTCTGGCAGCCTACCCTCACAAGATCGCCAACAGCTTCGCGAATCACCTGCTCTTCTCTCCCTTTCAATCTCGAGACCACGAGAAGCCCACTCCAGGTATTGTTCATCTTACGATTCTTACCCTATGTTTTTGAACTGGGTCTTATGAACTTTGTTCAGAGGATTTATTCAGGGGATAGGGTTTCTTAATGGGTCTTAGTTGTGAATTGGGTATGAACTTTGGGTTTGTGGGTTGCACCAATTCCTTTACTGGATGGATCTTTTTTGGTTGAATTAACGAACTTAGTTTATTCAATTAACTACCTACTCTGTTTATTCACATGCCGAAAGATGTACACATAAAGCAACAGATAAGTGTATATTTGGAGATGCTGAAGTGTAAATGTATCAATGTTGCATAGGTTGAATGCTTTGACACTGAGACATACTTAGCAAATGCACACAAGACATGAAGACGAGGACGCTTTTCACCTTATGGATGGTTGTTAAGTTTTGCTTTGTTTGGATGTTAATCGATATGTTTTCTTCTATGAACTTAACAAAGTGACTCTTGTTTCTCTAACCTGATTCATTATATACCCACAAGGTTTGACCGTGATTCGTGTATATTATGTGCAGGAACACAACCAACGCCCGCCATGGTCTGTAATACAAGGATAACCTCCTGCCTCGCCTTCCCCTAATCCTGTTCGCTGACTGAGCCTCGAGGTCTCGGCAACATCCTGAAAACTGTCTAGGTCAGGACTCAGAAGGAAGGGTGAAAGACTCTCCTAGTGGTTTTGTATTTCTATTTCAAGCAAACTCCAGCATCTTCTTACAGCAAAATCATCTCAAAATTGAGAGAATTGGAGCAGATAGTTTCAAGGTCAGTGCCATATCTAAACTTCCGGTCGGGTGGTTAATTAACGAACTTAGTTTATTCAATTTGACTACTTCTTTGACAGTTTGCTGCTTGTGAACTTAGCTTAATTCTTATTTGGTTGAATAATTGTGTTGTTGCAGCTAGTTTGAATGATTGTTTGTTGCTTGATTTTTCTAGGGAAACATGGTTTCAGAAGTTAATGATGATAGTCTATCTATGAATCATGAGAGTAGTAATCATGGACAGCCTAGTGTGTCTTCTAGTCGTATGGTATGGTCTTCTGAGAAGCAGTGGTCTGATGTGTGGAAGGATTATGATCGAGTTGTAATTAGTGGGTTAAGAAAAGCTGAATGCAAATACTGCCATAGAAAGCTTGCTGCTGAATCCAACTCTGGAACTTCTCATTTGCGCAATCATTTAGTTAAATGTCCAGTAAAAAATGTTGATCCAGTCATGGTGGGTGGACTTTTGGATAGTAAGAAAAGGAAAATTGGTACTGGAAGTTCGAGTCCGGTTGTTTTTGACCAAGAAACTAGTAGAAGGGAGCTTGCTTATATGATTGTTCTTCATGAATTTCCTCTATCGGTTGTCGATTATGTTGGGCTTAGGAGGTTTGTGTATTCTCTTCAACCATTGTTTCAAATGGTTTGTAGAAATACAATCAAGAGTGATATTTTAAAGATATTCAAAAAGGCAAAGATGAATGTAATGCATGAGTTAGAAAAAGTCAGCAGTAGGGTGGCGATTACCACTGATATGTGGACTTCGAATAACAGGAAAAGAGGATTCATGGTAGTAACTGGTCACTTTATTGATGATGCTTGGGTCCTTCATAGTAAGATTTTGAGCTTTATCCACGTTCCTTCTCCACATACCAAGGATGTTCTATGTGCTGTATTATTGAGTTCTATGACGGAATGGAACATTGAGAGAAAAATTTCAACAGTGACCGTGGATAATTGCAGTACTAATGATGCTATGATTAGAGCTCTTTTAGGAAAATTGCAAGAAGATACGTTGTTGCTAAATGGTTCTATATTTCATATGCGATGTGCTGCTCACATTCTCAACCTAATCGTGCAAGATGGGTTGTCTGTCATTGAGGAATGCATTGGGAGAATTCGTGATAGTGTTGTGTATTGGACTTCATCTGTTAAGAGAAGACAAAAGTTCAATGATGTGTTAGGCATGTTTACAAATATTGATTGTTCGAGAGAGTTGGTGCTTGATTGTAAGACTCGTTGGAACTCTACGTATCTTATGCTATCCACTGCTTTGATATATAAGGATGTCTTTGATCGTTTGATTGTTAGAGATTCAGATTATGTATGTTTTCCAAGTGAAGAGGAATGGGATATGGCATCTGAATTATGTGTGAAACTAGAGTTGTTTCATGAAGCTACAAAGACATTTTCAGGAACAACTTACCCCACGGCTAATACATTTTTCCCTAAGGTCTGTGAGATTAAAATAGCTCTAAACGAGTGGCATTTGAGTCCAAATGTAACTATTGCAACCATGGCTGAAGAGATGTTGGATAAATTCAATAGGTATTGGGAGGTTATCCATGGAACGTTGGCTGTTGCAGCTATATTGGATCCTAGGTTCAAGATGAAGCTATTAGAGTGGGCCTTTCCCAAGATTTATGTTGGCACATCTACATTTCATTTTAATAGGATTCGAGACTTCTGTTATGATCTTATGAGTGAGTACAAGACTACAGAACCTAGCATGGATTCTTCTTCTTCTTCATCGCCACATCAACATGCAAGTTCTGGGTTACTTGCCAGCTTTGATTCTTATGTTGGGAGTACTGTATCTAATTGGAATGTTAAAGAAGAGTTTGACAAATACTTGCAAGATGGTTTGATCCCAAGAAGCGAAGAGTTCGACATTTTATCTTGGTGGAAGAACAATGGCCTACAATATCCAACCTTAAGGTTGATTGCTAAGGACATTCTGGCCATTCCAGTGTCAACAGTTGTCTCGGAATCTGCATTTAGCACAAGTGGAAGATTATTGAACCCTCATCGTAGCCGCCTTGATGACACGACTGTGGAGGCTCTTATGTGCACCCAGAACTGGCTTAGGAATGAACTTCATGGTAAGAAACAACTTGTTGTTGCAGTTATTCATTATTTACCTTCTGTGTATGTTGTGGTTGAGTGCATACCTTCTTGGTTTCCCTTTTTGCAGGTGTGGCCATCTTCTCTTCAGACGTTGATGGTTCGACTCAAACCATATTCTGTGAGAATGATGGCGGTGATGATGAACAAGTTATGGAATATGAGGACTGAGAAAGAATCTGGGAGTTTGTATGTTGTTGGTTGTCAGTGACGTGAGTGGCATGGATGGATATTGTGGTTTACTTGTGGTTTACTTGTTGTAGTAGTTGTTGTTGTTATTGTTGTTGTTGTTGGAAGGGTAGGGATCAGCCGATCAGGACAGAGGAAGCTTTCTAGTGGTGTTGCTGTTGGTGAACATGTACTGATGATCATGGATGAATTATTATGAAGCTTTCTATTGTGGTTTACTTGTGGTTTACTTGTTGTAGTAGTTGTTGTTGTTGTTATGTTGTTGTTGTTGGAAGGGTAGGGATCAGGACAGAGGAATTATTATGAAGCTTGTATGATCAATTTATGATCAATTCCCATCATCTCTACTTTCCCTGTTGTTGTTGTTGTTTTCTTCCCCCACTTTTCACCCTCCAAAACAGAACCCTCTTCTTTCCTTTCCTTTCTGGAGAAAGGAAAGAAGCCCTACTACCAAACCCCTACTCCCTTAAACCTCCCCTGCTTAATCACCCATCAAAGCAAAGAACAAAAAACCAGGTCCTCTGCTCTTCCCCTGTTTTCCGGTCCCTTAACCTCCCTGCAATTCACCACCACCCATTTCACTCCAATCCTGATGAAGCAAGCTTCAATCAGCAGTTCAATAAGAAGAATATCAAAATGAGCCACGCAAACAGCCCGCCAACTTGTTTTTTCTAAAGCCCCCGCACCCTAATTTCTTCTCCAGGGTTTTATCAGATCGCCAAATCCCCCCATCAGAACCCCGCCGCGGCCGTCACCACCATTACCGCCGGCGGCCATGAGTCTAGTAGCAGGTTCCAACGAAAGATTCATCTGGGGATTCAAACTCAAGCCCGTAACCAGCGAACAATCTCTAACCTTAGTTCCCCTCTTCTCCTACCCATCCCATCAATCCGCAATCCTCTCCGCTGCCGCCGCCTGCCCAATCGCCGCCTCTGGGTCCTCCGACGACACTATCCACCTCTACGACTTACCCTCGGCTGCCTCCCTCGGCTCCCTCTACCAGCACACGGCTTCCGTCACTGCCCTCTCCTTCTACACCCCACCTTCCCTTTCCTTCCCCCGCAACCTAATCTCCGCCGACGCCGAGGGATATGTTTGCATCTTCGACGCCGACCCTTTCGTCCACCTCAAGACAGTGCGGGCCCACCAATTCGCCCTCCTCGACAGCTACAATCTGCCTCATCCCCCTGCCATCCGGCAACAACACCAATCTCACCGCCGCCGGCACCGCCGACTCTCAAGTCCGATTCGTCATCCTCCCCGTCGTGAAACCGCCGCCGGCGAAGCAGCTGGAACACTGTTGACAGCCAAAATTACATTTTAGTACCTGAAGTTTTTAAGAAGATACAAATAGGTTCAACATCATATGTGGAAAATTATATTTTAGTACATCAGAAATTTTGCTTTACATTTTAACACCTAATAAAAAAAAATATACAGGTGGGTCCAAGGAGATGGGTACCCAAGCCCAATCCATACCCAAAAATAAAATCCAAACCCAACTCCACCTATCCAAACACTATCCAAATCCATATAGAATAAATCCATACCCATACCCATATAAATGGGTATAATTGGGTTTGGGCAAAAATACCTATGGGTGGGTAAATTGCCATCCCATTGGAGGTTCTACCTCCGCACCCTCTCAATTTCGTTTTTTCTGCCTCCTGCGCAACTTACGGAAGGACCATTCGGTCTTTTCATTTACTTCAGCTGGGCCTCTAGAGACCCTCTACTTCTTTCCAAGCAGGCGATAACAATATGAGATGGGCATGTAGGTTGTTACTCTCATACACCACGTCCAGACTTTTCCAATTCCCCAAAACTCATTCTTACATAATTGGATTCATTTAATCTAGCTAGAGATAGCAACAGGTCGAGGCGTATAGTATATCAATTATCCTATCGAAGTAATTCGGATTTTACCCATATTCATACCAACATAAGAATCTGGTTATAAATTAAAACAATCCCCATACCCGTTCAGGTTTCGGGTAACCACGGTTATCTATGGCTAATAATTTCTTTTTATAACTCTAACCAATATGTTAACATCACAAATGTACACACTTTACATAAGAGGGAAAATACGACAATAAATCACTAAGAATGGAGAAAATTAATTAAAACAATACAATTCATGAAATTATTATATTTCTATGCTAAATGTAAAATATGTAGAGAAAAATAATTATTTTTTTAGACAAAATACGTATTCATATGTATAATCGTGCGTGTTCGGATTGGATAGTGAGAAAATCATGTCCATCTATCACCCGCAATGCTCAATGTTTGGGTTCAGATTTTACCCTTACCCACTAAAAATCTTCTGGATTCGAATTTTACCCTATCGATCATGTCGAATTCGGACGAATATCAAAGGTTACAGGTATTTTTGCCATCCCTAAATCTGACATCGAATCATTTATTATTGTAAGTACACTCGGTTCCATAATTGCCTTCTCCAATAATAGACGTAGTATTCCATAATCCATATTTTGATTATTTGTTATCTCAAGAATGATTGCATATACTTTGCTTCTATTACTATTGCCATAGTTGCTATAGTTGCCGCTCTCTTGCATTCACATGCATATCCCCATTAAAATTTTGCGGATATTTCACTAAAGTTAGTTTGTTTTCTTAATCCTTTCCCAATTCAAATTGCGTTCGTAATAACATGTTAATATATATTATTTGTACAAATTATTATTTTCAATTGACTTATATTCATGGTTGTTGTGGAACAATTAAATTACATTGAAGGCCTACAATTCAATCTTCTAAATTTAATTTCCAATTTTTACTAGGAAGCCTATAATTTTTATCCTAGAAAAAGTTGATCTCTGATTTTTATTCAATTACAAAATTCCTACATTAACTTTGTGCTTAGTACCCAATGATATTTGGTTGCAAATACCCAAAGGAAAAATCAAGGATTTTCAACCACTGTTTCATGATCAGAGAGTCTACACCATCAAGAACTTCAAGGTTATTCTGGCAACAGGAGATTACAGGCAATTACAAACAAATTGGGCTTCAAGTTTGAATCAAATACTAAGGTCCAAGCATGTGAAAATGTTCCAGCCATACAAGTTTACAAATTTAATTAATCAAACAAGATTAGATTGACAAGAAGTGCAACCAAATAAAATTTCTTTTAAGTTTGAATTACTAATTTTGATTCAAATTTAATTATATTGATGAAATTTAATTAAATGATCATCAAATTTGCAGGTGCGAACACCTTCTCCTCAATTGGAGCAACCTTGCCGCTGGCAAATCCAAGAATTCCAAAATTTATTAATTTTGTGCCAAGGTGAAATCACGACAATATAATTATCGTATTTGGTTATGCGTAAAGTATGAAGTTTAAAAAACATAGAAGATATTAATTACCATTCTTTTTTTAATGAAGTGGCTATGACACACTTATTCCAGTGCAAAGCCAAGGAAAAACAGCAACAATTAATCTCAACTAAAGCATAACACGTGCTAGATAGATTAAAAATGATATATTGAGAAAAGGTAAGTATCATTTTCGATTTAACAATCTCCATTAACTATGATATGCTAACACTTAATTTAAGATTTAGGAAAATATATATTCGTTGAAATGCAAAGTTGTCAGAATTAAGAATGGGTGGTGGTATGCCAGATGCAACACATGTCCATAAAAACTCGAAGAAGACTCGGATGGGTACTTTTATGTGAACTGTACAACAACATTAAGAACAAATATAGCTAAATAATGCAACCATTATTAATGGAAAATTGGATTTTATATAGTTTGTTGATAAATATACATGCCAAATGGATGAATGTTTACAACATAGTTTATATGATTTTCTTCATTGAATGCATACATATATTACTAATGCATGGTACTAATACATGATGAAAGGTTACGTACATATTATATATTGTTAATATAAAGAGATTCCAGGAGATTGGCGGAAGGCTACGATAGTCTTCTACTCACATTTTGGTTTGTATAGGGATATAAAATAATGTGATTGTTTGATTGGCGTGACTTCCCTATATAATTCCATTTTGAAACATTATCTTCTGTGATGGTCTGCATGTTTATATCTTAATGGTGGGATGATCATTTGCATCTTTTGGATACTGTTAAGAAAATGCATAATTTTTTCAACTATCTTACCCTAGGAGACTATTTTTTAATTATTAATTGAATAATTTTGAGTTTTGAACTTACCAACTATAAATAACATATTTCAAAAATATTTATTGTTTTTATGACATTACCATCTTATACAGATTCAGTATCCATCTTCGAGTTGTGCACAAAAGAGCACAGGTGGACTTTGTTGCTATGGATGGAGCGGGAGCTCGATTTTTTGGATGTCAGCTGAAAGGCTATTCCAAGACAACGATAGAGTTAGAGGACCACCACCTTCTCATTTCCTACTAATTATGGAAATGACCTTGAAGTTCGACATCAATCTCACCGATTACAAAATCGCGAATCCAACAAGTGCGTACACAATTTTTCAGGATAGGGGAAGAAGGAAGAGATTGTTGAAAGGAAGGAGAAGAAATAAGAGACAATTGATGATGCAGATAAATGTGTCACTAATGGAGATGAAGACATTATGATTAGTGGAGACGATGATGTTGCTCATGGCGGAGAAAATGCATACAACTCAAAAAGAAAAATGTAGTAATCTTAGATGATGAGTACATAGAAGAGTCATTTTAAACTGTCTTTAGAAGTCGGTTCCCTTTCATGGATTTTTCTTTCATTTTCGTAAATGAATTTTATTCGTTTAATCATTAAATTTTCATAAAACAGTATGATATTGAAATTTAATTAAGATTTTAAAGTATTTAATTAATTAAGATTTTCTTATATTAATGTGTAGTTCGAATACAAATTGCTATTGAAATTTACGTTATTCTCAATTGAATCCGGCCAACTGGCCGGGCCCGTGACTAGTGTTCGTCTATGTATATTCCAGCCGAACATAAGCAAGGCTCAAGTCAAGGTTGCGGAACAAAGTAGAATAAGCCAAACCACGTCGTTTAATTTGGCCACAGCAATGGTGTTTTGCCTACGTTACGAAGCAGATGACAAGTATGAAAAAACGGAGTCGTTCTGTTTGAAACAACAGTGTTGGTGATGTTACAAAGGATATTTTCCCATTTTGGTATTTTGGATGAGAACTGAGAAGCCACGTAGGGTTGTTAGCTTGGTAGCAAACGGTACAGTATTGATAGCAGGCACAAGGTTGTTTTGGCTATTAATGTGTGGTATAAAATTCATTATAATATCTCTCCGAATAACTCAAGTTATTGCCAATAAAATGGTCTGACACTCTCGGGGAATGGAAATAGACCTTACTTTCTTTAGTTTTTCTAGCCATTCCAAATTGACAAGCAACTGCCATCCCTATCTCGCGCAAGGGCTCGATCAGATGCCAAGGTCGCACGTTAGTTGGAAGCTTCAGGGTGTCTAGCATAATCTGCAGCAACCAAAACCCTAAGATCAACCGAAACACTGGTCGGTATTTTTTTTCTCTTTGTTTGATTTTCTCTTGTATTCCCCTGCGGGCTGCGGCCTACATCCGATTCTTCCCGGACTGTTTTATGCTAGTTCTCGATTTTACTGGCCCCCAGTTTCTCGATTGGCCGTTGCTTGAACTGTTGTGTTTGGTTTTCGATGCTTACCTCCCTGAACTGTTCAATTTGCCAACATCTTAGAGCAGATGTAAGGGTTCTGCTTTATTTAGCTTGTTCGTTTTGTCTCTGATCTGGTTGGTTAAGTTATTCTCTAAGTTCAGCTTGCTCTGGTCGATGTTTGGTTACGGCTTAGCCGTCTCACTCGAGTTCTGTGCTCTCCTCCGGCCGCCGCCTCCCAAGGTTTACGGTAAGGCCGGCGGTCCCGTAATAATGCCAGAGCAGATTATGGATTCAACTAAATTTCGCATTCAATGAATTTCATTACAGGTAAGTATCATGCTCATAATTTTTAAATGATTTAATGACCTTCATAATTATTTTTAGGCAAAATTCATCTGTGTAGCCAAAACTTTCACATTTGTGACAATAATAGCCACTTTTGGCGAAATACCAAATATAGCAAGAATTTTGAAAGTTTCATGACAAATATAGCCATTTCCGTTACATATTTTAACGGCGTCAGTGACATTGTTAGTCAAATTAACGGAACGCTTATATGGCTGCCAAGTCATCGGACACGTCATTGACAACTCAACAACACTTGCCACATGGATGCCATGTCATATTTAATTTAAAAATAAATAAAAAATCTTAAATTATTCGCTTAGTTTCCTTTCTTGTTACACTCGACGTCGCCCATTCTTTTTCTTTTCCTTTTCCCCCAAATCTAGATCCAAAAATTATAGGGATTGGATCTGAACCCCTCTCTTCTTCTTCCCAGCAAGAAGAATCCCTTGCCCGTCCTTCTTGATTTACCCCTTTCCTGCAAAAAAAAACACCAAAAACCAGAAATCCCTAAATCTCAATATCGATTTCCCTGAAAAAGAAAGAATTGAGCAAACGACTTCCTTCCTTCCTTTGCTGATCCGTCCCACCATCGCCGCGTTGGGCAACACTGATCGACTCGCGTCCCCATCACCTTCGACTCGACCGCCTTCTGAAAATATGTGGTCGTCTAGCCCGTTGATGCTGCTATTCCTGTGCCACCGCCCAAATATGGGTTTGGGAATATGAGAATGAAGGGTCGCCACCTACCTCTGTTCCACCCAAACACTACTCACCCGTCCCTCGTGTCGTCGAGCCTAGCCGTCGAGTCGAGAATGAAGCGGAATGAAAGCTTCACAACGCGGTCGCCGGGACGAGGAGGAAGAAGACTACTCGTCGCTCCTCCTTTTGCCGTATGAAGGGTATGAGGCGAATTGGGAAGAAGGTGAACAGGTGATGTGCGATTCCCCCTTTCCGTCGCAGTGGCAATTAGATGAGCCTGTCGCTGCCGATTGCCCGAAGAGGATAGAACAAGCTGAAAACTCTCAGAGGGAAATAATCGTACAGATTCAGGGTAAAAAGATAAACCCTCACTTGGAAATCTGCTTACCCTTCGAACCCTTCTCCCTTTCCAAGCTGCAGCTGCACCGCCACTCTCAGCTTGCGTCGCTGGCCTTGCATCCCTAGACCCAACAAATCGTCTTTCAATTGAATGCATACGAAGAGAAGTCCAGATACGGTGATATTCATGGGTACACACCATTGCGGTTCTCTTTTTCCAAGAGACCTTTGATTCCAATTCTTCTTACTCACTTGGTATTGCTCCTTCGACGGTGGTGATTCCAGGTTGAGAGATAGGGTTTCGTAAACGAATGGAGAATGGGGAGTAGGTTGAGATTGGGGATTTTTTTGGCCAACGAGAGAATCTCTGTATTTGTTGGGGAGATGGCGTTGCTTCCTGCCGCTACTTGATTTCTTGCAGATCTGCTGAGGAAGCTCGATCTGGAGCGACGGCGGCTGTGGACGGCGATTGAACTTTCTTCCGTCCAATGATGGCTAGGGACAGTGAGCGGTTGCTGGTTGCCTCGACGATTTGGAGCTTTTGTCACTGTGGAGAGGAACGACAACTATCTGGTGGTGATGACTAATGGCGATGATGGGGTAGGAGGAGAGGTCGATGGGATTCCATCTCTGAAGCGGCGGCCGAGGGTACTGGGAAGGGAAGGGGAAAGAAGAGAGAGTAGATCAAAAATAAATAAACAATTTTTTATTTTGGTTAATTCCACCTAAGCCGCCACATCAGTTTTTCTATTAGTCCATTCAGCATGTTAGTTAACACCGTTAAAGAATTGGACGGAAGTGGCTATAAGTGGTATTTCGTCAAATTTGGCTATTATTGGCAAAAACGCAAAAGTTTTGGCTATACAAGTGTATTTTGCCTTATTTTTAATTATCCCTTGTTTAATTCCCTATGCTTTTATAACTTCTATTAGTACCTCCTCAATCACCGCATCAGGTAAGGCAATTAGAATTTATTCAATCCATTACTCCCCTATTGGTATTTGAGAATCATTTTTATTATCCAGAGTACCTTTTAATGCCTCTTATTAATTAATTTCATTGGCAACAATCGTTTTCTTTTATTCATTCCTGATTTTTAGGATGTTGGTTTAAATTGTATTTACTTTGTAAGGTAATTTGGGTAATTGATTATCCTCATTTGTAGCCATATTCACTTATTTTATTTAATTTTAAATATATGATATTAAATATGAAACTTTATTTCTTGTTGAAATACCTTGGTGTCAAATCATGGTTATTAATATTAGAACCTTTTAGTTACCTTGTTGAAATAAGGGGACTATTATTTATTTTGTATTTTTATAATATTTATTTTCTATAATTTATTTTCTTTTAATTGTTGAATCGCATCATTGATGTGGTATATTCGGTATTTCCGACTTTGTCTCAATGATAGACTTTAATCTCTTTGGATAGAGATTTCTAGCACTTTAGTGGATCCCTTTCGGATTGATCAGGTTACAGGAAAACATGAAGGAAGTGCAATCGCCCTCGTCAGTCTATCAGTTAAGGCTTGTTGCTCTTTTTATATTTTCATGGTATCAATGATGCCTATTAAATGGTGATTTACTCATAATTTCTGGTTTTTTTCTTTTGAAGAAATTATCAACTGGTTATCAGAACGCCGCACTCTCGAGCAGGAGCTGTCTTGGAGGAAGTGCTCTCTTTTTTCTCTTTTCTTGAGTCAGTGTCGTGTCTTTTGCTCCTCATAGCTTTAACAGAGCTGCCCATGTAGTGGCTATAACAGACTCTTTCATCGGGAATCTGCTTGCTTACGACTTACCGCATTTACTTTGGAGTCCTTATTGTAACTGAGTCGCGTTTTTGTCCCATGCCCTTTGGGCTTGCCTCGGAAAAAAAACTCAAGTTATTGGCTTTACAGTTCAGAAAAATTTAGACCAAAACACGTCTGATATGGCTCAAGTAGCATTGCAACAGCCTTTGGAATATAAAACAGAGTGTTTAGAGGAATATTTCAAAACACTGCCACTGAAGGCCAAGCAATGCTACAGATTTACATAGATGCCAAGAAGAATCCCAAATCAAGCACAACTGAATTGGTTTGACCGATACAAAAAAAATAGGGGGCAAAACACAGTTGTTCTCGGCCAAAGCTGAGCTGCAGAGCAGTTCAACAGTGTTGTTTTTCTATTCTTTTCTTTGCAAAGACGTAGTTGGGATCACAAAACTGTACAAGGACAAAAGAAAAGCCAAAACTGTTGGTTTAAATTAATCAACGAAAAACAAAACAAAACACAGTATTTTCCGGGAAACAATGGTGCTTGTCGCACAACCTCGCGACAAATCCTCGTGACCGAAATTAATCTACACAATAAATAAAAACCAAATGAAAAAATTTGAAGGCCATTTCAAATTTTCTGCATCCAGAGTGAAAGTAGGAAGGACATTTTGGTATTCACAATTACTTTTTTTATTCATTAAAAAGACACTTACTAGAATTCGAACCATTACCACTTTAAAGAAAAGCAAAGATCATAACCAATCACACTAAGTACATTTGTTGTACATTTAAATTAAAAACATATAATTGCAGAGAGGAAAAAACACATCCCCCATTTCAAATTCCTTGCTCCAGGAGCGCTTGTAGGATGGGTAGAATAGGGAGTGTCAATTTTTTTATTCTACCTCTGTGGAACGGGCCAACTTACTGTACTCATTTGGAATTAAACGGGTCCAGGAGTGTCAATTTTTTTTCTTTAAGTCCTTTTATTTCTCCGTGGTGGTAAATATATATGAAAAGGCAAAAACAATACTCATTGTTATTGCTAAAAAGAAAAAAAAAATTAACAATAAACTAATGCATGGATTCTAATGGGCTAAGCGCTAATCATAAAATAAAAAGATTTGAATGGGTCTGACCTACACGGGATTTGCCCATCAAGAAATACAAATGAACATCATGGGTTTATCATTCTAAAACAAGCTATTTTCTCTAGCATAATATATATTATGCTATTATTTTATATCTTAGTGACCAAAATATAATGTATTTTAAAGTTATTCAATGGTTCAACCTCGACCAACCCAATTAGTCCAATTTTTATCATTTCAAATATATATTTATGTAATTATTTGATATAATAATGATTAAATTATAGTCTATATTATAGAGAATCGTTTGATATTTGTTAGTAAAAAACTAAACAGAAAGATCTATTAGGTTATTTTTAACATTAAAACGATTCTAAACATTTTCAGTTTTCTTTCAAAATTCTATAGTTTTATTCCCGAATCAGTGATGTGCAAATGGCAAATTGCAGTCATCTCTTTTCTTTCATTATTTTTTATTTTCAAATAGCAAGTTTAAAAGTAAAGAATAATTAGAGTTTGGCATGAGTCGGTCAAACAGGCTGAATTTCAAGTTTTAGCCCGTTTTGATCAAGTCTAATTTATAATCACATGGTTCCCTGATACCCGATAAAAATCTCAATCCAAACCAGTTTGACAGGTGAGTCCGTGTTTACCACCATTTTCTAGGGATACAGGAACGGTGGTTCCTATCCCAAATCGCGTTGTTCATTCTTGATTTTTTTAGATTTTATCATGGCTTGGCAAAAAACCAGAAAGCACAATGATGACAAGATGAAAGTTTTATAAAGCAAATTTATCGGCCAACGGGCCGAGTAAAAGGTAGCAACGATTGTGAGATGCTCATTTCCCGAAAACCGGCGGGATAGGCAATTTTTTATTCGATTTTCTGGAATTCGGTTTCTGTAAAACTTACTCCACCTCATCATATTATCAGAAACAATATTGTTTCACAAGGTAACGGGTACTTAATTTTGGTTCATAAGACTGATTTTTGATTCGTTGCATCATTCATGTCTCTTTCCTACTAAAATTCACTATTTTTATCACGTGTTTCAAAAAAAAAAAACTATACAACCATAAGTTATACATCCCATTACTTTATCAAATTTCATACCTCACCTTCCTCCGACCAAATGGCCGGGACCACGATAGTTTTTAATAGTAATAACTAAAAGAGATGTAGTACTACTACTCTCAGCCCAAACAACCCAATACCGTTTCTTAATTGCACTCGCTGTTCGTCACAAGGCTGTGCCAGTCCACGTCATAAACTGATGTCATTAAGACAACCGTCATCTCCCCACTTTGCCAGTTGCCACTTGATTATCATATTAATTATTTAAGCTTGTGACGGTGGATGGAGGGCAAGTAGTTAATTAGCGCCTAGTGAGATTGATCAATTGACAATTAATGACACACCTCAGGTCGGATAAAATATTGAAGGATCAATATAGCATCAAATAGAGCTGGCAATTTGGTCCAGGACTGTTTGGTTTTACCCGAAAGCGGACCGTATAACTCAGACCGAACTGGGACCGGATAGCAAACAATCCAATCTCATATTTGGGTTTAGATTTGAGGTAAAAACCCCAGATAAAGACCGGATAAAAGACCCCAACACTCAAATCCCCACAAGCTCAATCTAAAATCAAAATCAAATTGGGACTGGACCGAGTCAAGACCGGAGTGTATCCAATCCAATCTTTGGTCCTTATATTCCCGAAAAGACTGGACTGGGACCGGATCAATTTGGTCCAATTTAACCGGACCGGACTGTATAGCTACCCCTAGCACCAAAGCCGCCAACCGCGCGACCTCATGATCAGGTCTTATATTATTACTATTTTTGAACTCGTCGGTTTCTATCGGCAGAGAAAACAAGAACTAGGCAGAATATAAATATGCGTTGCTGGGGAGGCATATAATTAATTGCAGATGAGCTAGCTCTTAGCATTGCTAATTCAGGAAAGATGGCCGCATCAGCTACAAGCTCTCTTCCTGATCATGGTCGCCCAACCGCGGATTTTCACGACAGCGTCTGGGGGGACTTCTTCCTTACATCTACCGAGTAATGTTACGATGTTTTAAAGCAATGGTGCATTAGTTTTTTTTCTTCTTTCTTTTATGGTACAAATTAGAGTTTGTACTTTTAACGTTATGGACTATGATACAACTTTAGTTTCTACCTATACCATTTTGTACAAATCCTTTCATGGTACAAACTAAATTTGTATCTTTATATTATTATGATACAACTTCAAGTTGTACTGTAACATAAAAATACAAATATCCTTACAGTACATCCTGAATTTGTAGCTTTAAAGTTTTGATACAACTTCGATTTGTATTTCGAAGCACCAATGGCTTAAAGTATGATAGAAGTGCTTGAATCTACATCTACATAATTAATTAGATTATTCTTTTGAATATAACTAGTTTGAACTCAGTCCATTGGCTGAAATATTTAGATTTATTAATTGATAGACTATTTAGTCAAGATTGTTGTAAGGAATTCTTACATAACATTACATAACCCTATACTTACTGATTTATAAAAGACAACTAACTTTTCCTCCAAGATACTTAACGAGCTATATCTCTTTTCTTTTAAGCCGAAATTTAAAAACAAAAAATTGCAAAGAAAAATTAGATTGATTGTAATTTTCAAAATGACATATATTTGATATATTTTGGGGGTTGGGGGGGGGGGGGGGGATTGAGATTTTTCATTACTAGTTCTTACCATGTTGTAGCTACTTGTATTTACATAAGATTATACCATGTTGGTATGAATATATCATAGTATAGAATGATTGTATACATGATATTAGAAATATACTAACCGTCATTTAACACATTTCATCATCGCCTACCACTAGTTACCACCCTATACCATGGTGATATTTTTGGTTCTGAAATTTTCTCCCAAAAATTTATAGATAAAATAGATCACGATGAACTCGTTTATTCTGAGCAAAATTATTCAAAATATGATTTAAAACTAAAGTGAACTAAGTGGTACCAAGGTGGTAACAGAGTGATATTTTTTTCTCTCGAAATATATTGAAAATTAATATAATTTTGTAGATCACAACAAATCCCCTTCATTTGAACAAATCATTATGAAATTTAAGTTATAACGATGAAGATAAAATTTGATTAAGAAAATTAGAAGGAAAAAAAACCCATTTATTCTTACCCATTAAATTCGGCTCCACTTTAAATCAAGGACTTGTATCTAATTATACTAGAATTATGTACTCTAGGTTAGTGACCCAAGGACCAAATTTCAAAGTCTTGACTATATTATAAGGGTTTTCCCAGTCACAATAATATATTCAGACTATATTGACTGCAGATGAGCTAGTCTTTTGTACTAGTGTGTGTATATACGTGCTCGTATTCGTTCGTTTATTAATAAATCATCATTTAAGAAAGTAAACATGGCTATCATGAAGTTAATGCGTGTTGCTAAATCAATCCATCCTAATGACTCTAGTTGTTGAGATAAAATCTTATATATATGGATCTCATACAACCATCCTAAAACTCTAGTTGTTGAGATAAAATAATATACATATGGATCTCATACAACTTCTTCACATGTCTCTCAAAATGACATAAATTTATGGGCTTAAAATTTGCACAGACCTGACATGCCATGTTCTTTAATTAGCATTTAATACTGAGAGTTGCGAGGATTTGATACGAGAACTCATGGTCAAACGAGTTATAATACCATTGGTTGAAAGTTTACACATGGCCATCATCCAGTGTTCTTAAATCAACAGTTGGTATTGAGGGTTGTGAGAACATAAACACGAGAACTCACAATCAAACTAGTTATAATAAAAAACTATATTATAAATCAACTTATCTCGATAGCTCGAATTATTAGATAATAAATGGGTTGTTCATTAATTAACATGTCTCACTACTCCTGCCACAGGTGGTCAATTCGTGGAATGAAGAGATTGAAGTGCTGAAGTCCAATGTGAAGGTGGTGTTATCTTCTTCCGGAGACAATTTATTGGAGAGGTTGAATCTTATTGACACGATTCAACGATTAGGGATCGATTTCATGTTCGAGGAAGAAATCGAACAAATCCTTCAACACGATTACGAGAACATCGGTCCGAATGCTTGCAACATTATTGACGGTGACATCTTCCTTGTCGCGCTTCGTTTCAGACTGCTCCGACAACAAGGTTATAATGTACCAAGTGGTAAGTTATCTTCTTCTGACATATATAAAAAGCTAGGTTATAGATTAATGAAATGTGTTGCAATAATATTTTTGGGGTCTCTGCTCTCTACTCTCTAGCGCTCGTATTTGGCAAGTTCAGAACTGAAGAGGGTGAATTCAGACAAGAACTAGTTAGCGACGCGGAAGGCATGCTAAGCTTGTACGAAGCTGCATATATACGCACACAAGACGACAACATCCTCGACGAAGCTCTCGATTTCACCAAAAAAACACCTGACCGCCATGGCGCGTGAACTGGCGTCCCCACTCGCCGAGCGCGTCGCGCACGCCCTGCACCGGCCCTTACGCAGAGGCATGAGAAGAGCTGAACATCTCTTCTTTGTATCGATTTACCCAAAGATAGACGGCCACGATGCAGGGCTCCTCAAGCTGGCCAGGTTGGGTTTCAACCTGCTGCAGAATCTGTACCAGAAGGAGCTCAAAGTTCTCACCAAGTAAGTACGTCCGTCGATCGTCAATGTTATAAGTACGTTCCATTTGATCCGAATCCAAATGATCGGAGTTGTTGTCGCTGTCGTTAATTAGGTGGTGGATCGAGTTGGATTTGCCGAGGAAGCTGTACTACGCGCGGGACAAACTGCTAGAGAACTACTTCTGGGCGATGGGATGCTTGTGGGAGCCCAAATTTTCGCTGTCCAGATACTGTTTCATGAAGCTCATTCCAATTGCGTCGATGTACGATGACACGTTCGACGCGTATGGAAAGCTTGATGAGCTCGAACAGTTCACGGCCGCCATTCACAGGTACATTTAAGTGAATGCTGACAAGAAACCGATGGTCGGGAGATGATGTTTAATCGTGGATCACACTGTTGTTTATTAACAAATGCATGAATAGTGGTGTTAACTCAATTTTCATGATACAGAGATGACCAAGCTAATTAAGCGCTGCTACGTGCATATATATGCAGATGGGATACCAGCACGAAAGATCTGAACACAAATATGAAAATCCTGTTCGACGCGGTTATTGATTCCTATGATGACATTCAAGAGATCACTTCCAATGAATTCGGACGATCCTACTGTTGGGAATACGGAAAACCTGCGGTAAAAATCATGTCGTATATCAACTAGTTAAAAAAAATTAACTTTATTCTTCTTAGATTCGGGATTCACCATTCCTATATACTTTGTTTTTTTTTTTTTTTTTTTTTGTTCTTTCGATGATCAGCTGAAGAATGTTGTAAGGTTGTACTTGGAAGAAGCACGTTGGCTAGCCAAGGGTTATGTGCCTACTTTGGAGGAATACAGGCACATTTCATCCCTCAGCACTATCTACCAATGGGCAGCGTTTTCGGTATTTTGTGGAATGGGTGATGAGTTAGCTCCCAAGGAACTGTTTGACTGGTTATTCACAGAGCCTAAAATGTTAGTAGCTTCGTCGGACCAATGTCGTCTCATGGATGACATCATGACCCACGAGGTAATCTATATCGATGAATGAGAATTGAAATACATCGTTTTAGTCGATCTTTTCACACACTTCAGGAAAGGAAAAGAGAAAAAAAAAAGAGTACATCGTAAGAGATATATAAGATTTTGTTTTGGATAATATATAATAATGGATATTCATATTATTATTCCGGTTTTGCGTGCAGTTTGAACAGAAAAGGGGGCACGCCCCTTCGTCCGTTGAATGTTACGTGGAACAATATGGCGTGTCGACACAGAAGGCAGTAGACGCATTGAGTAACATGGTGGAAGAGGACTGGAAGATAATGAATGGGGAGTTGCTCAATCCACCGGATTGTGTACCTAGAAAAGTCCTCTCGATATTTCTTGCTTTTGCACAGATTATGGATGTCCTTTACAAGGACAGTGATGGCTACACCAACTCTGCCACCACCACTAAGGATTTACTAACTGCTTTGCTCGTCACTCCATTCCCCATTTCATCGTGATGCTAGATGTTGTGTGGTCACTACCATATCCATATCCTGTGGTCACTGAAGGAATGAGAGACTCCAGATGAAGAGCATCCCTCGGTGTGTTTTAATGTTGTCTGATTGTCGAAACATTTTGGCTATGCTTTTCTTTCAATAATGTCGCATACTCTATGAATAGGAGGTTGTTTATTTGGTCAGAGTGTGGCGCGTTGGATTTCGTTGCGTTTGTTTGCCTATGTCGGTTGCTTTGTTGGTGTGTTGGCTTGTTCTTTGTACCTTGTCTTGGCTTCTGTTGTATCTTCATTGTGTAACTTTTGTTTTTTTTTTTTCTCTGTTTCGTCCTTGATTATCTTTCTTTTTGTTGTTTATCTCCACTGCCAGTGAAGGGGTTTTCTTTATACTTATTATTTGATCTCTGTTTTTTATCTCGTCATAAATTTTCATCATTCTAAAAAGAGTTATATGTATAATATGCTCCTAAACTATGTAATTTTCTCAAACATGCCCCTTAAAACACGTCAAATCTGCCCTTCTACTATCGAACAATTCTTAAATGTACACTTCCGTTAATTTTTACCATCTCAATGACGTTAAACCTGGTCTAACCACTTCCGTTAATTTTTACCCCTCTCTTGTTTCTAACCTTCTGCGTCCCCCATTAAGACTGTTAAAGATCAAGATTTCCTTGGCCGGTTGGCCCCCACTCCCCGGATTCGCGATTCCGGTGATACCCACAGTAGCTCCTTCTCATTAAGCTTCTTCTGCAGGGAAAATAATAAAACCACGAATCCAATTTCACAGTTTTCAAAGGTTGGATGGAGAACTGTACATCAATTAAGGCCATTGGTATATTAACTTAGCGGCTACAATAGTTCCGGAACACCGCCAACCCATATGTCGAAAATCGGACAACTCAATTAGTACGATATTGTCCGCTTTAGGCCTAGCCCGCACGATTTTACTTTTGGGTCCTTTCCTAAAAGATCTCGTACTAATGGACTTGGTGAACACTAATATACAAGGGTCCCTTCCCTTGTATTACCGATGTGGTACTTGAATTGTCTCATAACAATCCTCCCCTCAAGACAAGGACCACAAACTCTGTGTCCTCTTCTAAGCAATTATCTTGATCCGCCAGACACCTTGTATCGATGGGCTTCTCGATACAAGGATTTTCCAAGACGCAAAACTCTCTTTGATCAGCCAAATAGACGTGGGTCTCTCCTGGATCCACCAGACAAACGCAGATCTCAAATCTCGAGGTCGCCGAATGAGGGTCCCACCAAACTGACGTTCATCACCCTGAATCTGTCGAATCAGGCTCTAATACCACTTGTTATAACCGGGCCGCTCCGTTAGTACGATGTTGTTCGCTTTGGGCCAAACCCGCACGGTTTTACTTTTGGGTATCCTCCCCAAAAGACCTCGTACTAATGAGCTTGGTGGACACTAATATACAAGGGTCCCTTCCCTTTTATTTTCGATGTTGTACTTGGATTGTCCCGTAACAATCCTCTCCTCAAGACAAGGACCATGAACTTCGTGTCCTCTCATTAGGAATTATTTTGACCCACCAGACACATTGTATCTATGGGCTCTTGGTACAAGGATTTTCCCAGAGGCAGAACTCTCTTTGATCTGCCAAACCAGATGTAGCCTAGTCGCGGAACTCTCTTTGATCCACCACGCGAATTGCAAATCCCGAGGTTACCAAAATGAGGGACCAACGAACTGACGTCCACCTCCCCAAACCAAATCTGGCTCTGATACCACTTGTCATAACGCGGTCGCTCCGTTAATACGATATTGTCCTCTTTGTACCAAACCCTCATGATTTTACTTTTGGGTATCCTCCCCAAAAGGCCTCGAACTAATGGACTTGGTGGACACTAGTATACAATGGTCTCTTCCCTTGTATTACCGATGTGGTACTTGGATTGTCTCATAACAATCCTCCCCTCAAGACAAGGACCACAAACTTCATGTCCTCTCCTCAGCGATTATTTTGATCCGCCAGACACCATGTATCGATGGGATTGTCGGCACAAGAATTTTCCCAGGAATTTTCCCAGACGCATAACTCTCTTTGATCCGCCAAACAGACGTGGGTCTCTCCTGGATCCACCACACAAACGTAGATCTCAAATCCCGACGTCAACAAATGAGGATCCCTCCAAACTTAGGTCCACCGCCCTGGATCCGCCGAATCAGGATCTGATATCACTTGTCATAACCGGGCCGCTCCGTTATTACGATATTGTCCGCTTTGGGCCAAGCCTGCACGGTTTTACTTTTGGGTATCCTCTCCAAAAGGCCTCGTACTAATGAGCTTGGTGGACACTTATATACAAGAGTCTCTTCCCCTTGTGTTTTCGATGTGGTACTTGGATTGTCCCATAACACTATCCTTTCTAATCGATGATTGAATTTTTGGGGAAAATCGGGAAGTGGAAAGAACGAAATTTGCTAAAAGAAGGTAGGTGCACTGCAGAGTTCGTATATATTCGGACCGAGAAGTGAAATCTCAGAGTTAGGGTTGAGGAGGGTCTAGGGTAATAGTCACTGCCGGTTCAACAAAAGCAATAATGGTTGCGTAGGAATTGACCGTTTTAGGGGGAATGAAGAGGTCGAGAATCAGGGGAGTATGGGAATTTTTGATTGATATGGCTTGAGGGTGAGAAGACAATCAGATAAGAGCAAATGGCAATAGCAGATCTAATGGCGAGATGGTAGCGCCAGCAATGAATCAACCGTGCAAGGGAGGGTAACAATGTCTTTTAACCGCCTATTTCACTAGGCAAACAATGGTTAGACCAAGTTTAACATTATTGAGATGGAAGCCCTAACGGAAAGGTATGTTTAAGAATTGTTCGATCATAGAAGGGATATGTTTGAGAAAATTACATAATAGAATAGCATATTATACATATAACCATTATAAAAAAAAATTGTTCTCTCTTCTAGCTTTACCATCTTTTCTTTTTATTATTTTTGGAGTGGGAATGTCTTTTTTTATAACCCAACACCTCAACCCCATGTGCCACTTTATTACATTGGGGTCTACTAAACCTGGGGAGTACCTGTACAGGACACAATATCGGGGGGCTTCGTCCCCAGCACTCAGGGATGCCTCCGGGAACACACAAGCGGTGCCGATGGGAATTGAACTCAGGACCTCCCACTTCTTGAGCCAACCAGGCCAGCGGTTTCACTGTTAGGCTATGTTACCTTGTTAGTCTTATATATTATAATGCATCTGGCATTCATATCTCAATATTTTATTTATGCAAGAAAAAGAACAGTTATATGGTTTATTGGATCCATACCTCCAGTAGAGGTGACAATTAGAATCCATATCCATGAATCCAATCCAATTCATCTATCAAATTATCCACTTAATCCAATCCATTTTATCCAATTGGATCGGTGGATTCATGGATTGGTCCATGGATCCAAATGGCAAATTACGATTTAGTACCTTCACTTTTTATATTTTACATTCTGGTATCTAAAAATTTTCATTATGACATTTTAGTATCGAAAATTTTCAAAATTTACATAATGGTCCAGGGTTTGGATGTCATTTGGATTCATTGATCGATCCACAAATTCATTGGATCTGATCATGAATCCACCAATCCATTTGATCCATGGATTCACAAATCCAATCCACCAATCCATGAATCTAATCCATTTGCCACCTTTAACCTCCAATCATTCAATTTGGTGGATTCAAGCATATATGCGTACATGGGTTTAGACATTGAATGGGAATATGAGAGTTATGTTTGGTTTTAGTGGCAGTTAAATTGATGCATTATGCGTGTATATACATGTAGTTAAGGAAATTGGTATATTTTAGTTTACCATATTTGATTTTTGTGATAGTTATTGTAGTTTTAAATAAATTATATTATGTTACGAGAAATGTAACTTTTAACTTTTGTTTCAATGTAAAAGAAACAACACATAAAAAATTAAAATATAATTAGAATAAAATAAAACTACACAGTCTTATCTAAACTATCTCAACATTCGCATTTAACTATTTGGTTGAATTTTAACTCAATCCCCCAAAACATATAGAACCTCATGGCGGGTCACTAAAATGCTCAAAACTGACCTACCTAACCACGTTCACCATTGTTGTCACCCTAGCCCACCTTTTGCTCCGTGACATAACCCACGTCCCACGGGCCTCTATTGCGGGAGTCTCGAGAATTATAGTGGCGGGCCAAATATGAGCCCAATATCCCACTCGAATCCAAAAAATTTAGAAAGCCTGCTACTGCTCCATTGGATATTCCCTTTCTCCGCCTCCCTTCTCCCATTCTCTGCTCTCTCTCTGCTCTCTCCCTGCGTTTCCCCCAACTCCAACAGAGGAATTCCCCAAGAAAAAGACGTGAAGCCGAGCAGGTGGTTGGGAATTAATGGCGTTACGCCTATTATCGCCAACGTCTTCCATCACAACAATCACCCCCCTCAACGCCATCCCGAAACTCGCCCCTCGCTCCTCATCTCCATCGCGTCACAATTACAAATACCAAACGCCACGAAATGGAAGAGGATTCATCAACTGCAAGGCCGTCAGCGACACCTCCCAGACTTACAGAGGCGTTTACGGTCCCTGGCGAGTCGAAGACTCCGACGTTCAAGAGGTAATTAAAGCTTCTAAACCCCACTTCGCACTTTCCTCTATCTTGAATTGGGTAGTCCTTCAATTTCCTTACGTTTGCCCAATTTGGGGAGTTTCAGGTCGTGTTGTACAGGGCGGGACTAGTGACGGCAGCTACGTCGTTCGTGGCTGCTGCGTCGACGGCGTTTCTTCCGGGCGATTCTTCTCCGTTGAGCTCAGCAATCGAACAAAACCTCGACGTTCTTTACGGCGTTGGAGCTGGTGGGCTGGGAGTGTCGTTGCTTCTGATTCACATCTATGTGACTCCAATTAAACGCACCCTTCAGGCCTTCTGGGCGCTCGGGGTAATCGGCTCCATTGCAGCGTACACAAGCCTTGCTCGCCCAGCTGGTCTGGACTTGGTGCACTATGTTGTTGAAAACCCTGCCGCCGTGTGGCTAGTTGGTCCACTCTTTGCTGCTTTGACTGGCCTTGTGTTCAAGGAAGGTACATGATTTTCTAGTCCATTTTGGCTTTTGCACGCCATTTCCTTTGATCGTCGTATCAGAATTTTGAGGGAACGATGATGAGATGAGGAGTTGATGTTATCAGGTCTGTGTTATGGGAAGCTGGAAGCTGGTATTCTTACGTTTATCATACCCATACTGCTGCTTGGACATCTGGTACTTTGCTTTACCAACCCAGCTTATGCTTCAATCTTCCCCCTTAGGCTCTTACTGCTTCAAAAGAAGATGCATTCATTGGGGTTTATGATGAATGATTGGGTTGAACTGAACTATTGCAGAGTGGTGTAATGGATGATGGGGTGAAACAAGCTCTACTTGGTTCTTGGATGGCCCTCTTTCTCATATTTGCTGGCAGGAAGTTCACTCAACCCATTAAGGTAAGACAGCTAGCTACTCATGGTGCATTATTTATGAATCCATCAAAAAAATTTGAAGTCGCCTTCCAACTTTGTGTTCTGAGATTTGTGATGTTGTTTTGGTTGGGGGGTAGGACGACATTGGCGATAAATCAGTGTTCATGTTCAATGCCCTGTCAGAAGAAGAGCAGAAATCCTTGATCCAGAAACTTGAACAGCAGCAGCAGTAGATAGAGAGTGGAAGGGATGATGTCCAGTTTTGGTAAGCCAGCGAGTCGTTGTAACAGTTATAACGAACTGATACATGTGAATGCGATGTATAGGCTGTAGCACTAGCCATGGGAAAAAAGGCTTCTGAATGTATGTATGTAATGTAGATGTGGAGTATACCGCCTCTGCCAATAGCTAGTAATGATTTTGCTGTGTGTATATATTGCCGGTGCATGTGTTGCTGTTAGTTGGTGTCTGCATTCTGGTCGAGAAAAACCGAAAAGAAAGTTGTGGTAAGCTTCCAGCCCCAGAATTCTACTGATAGCAGTGATCAGCAGATCTCGGAGCAATGTGGCAATGGCGGATCCAGCTGTTGGTTGGTGTCTAAATTCTGAAGTCCGTTTCAGAGCGAAGAAGGGAGAAACTAAAGCAAAGGGGTATGAAATGAGAGGCCAATTGTCAAAGCCGAGGGATATTACATACCAAATTACAAACCGCAAACTAAATAGTGAGAAAGGATCTCCCTAACGCGATCTTTTGTTGTCCAACATTACCATATGGAGCTCCATTTAAGAGGATTGAGAATGAAAGACTGAGATGGTTGATCCCTTAGTAGAACAGAAATCCAAATTGAGATATGAAATGGTGAAATCAGAAATAAAAACAAAGTGAATCACATGCATAAGTACTCTTAAGTCTCAAGTAAGGATTGACACATTAAGTAGTAGCCATCCGTATTACAAAACTCGACGGCATTCATCCTCATCATCGTCTTCATCATCATCGTCGTCATCGTCATCATCAGTGTCATCGTCCACAGCAATGAACTGGCTCAGGGCAATCTTCAATTTCTCATTCTTAGCTTTAATCTTTTCTAGCTGCTCAATTTTAACATCCAACTTATTGTTTTGCTTCTTAATTTGCCTGTCCTTTTTCTTGATCGCTTTCTCCCTTTGATCTAACAGCTTCCTGCCGCATTCCAATATTGTTGCCTGCTCATCAATCACTTTATCTTTCTCCTTAAGCTCTTTCTCCTTCTTCTCTAACTCGCCCTTCATGTTACAAATCAACTCCTTCAGTTTCATTTGCGTCTCTTTTCCACTTTCGATCATAAGCTTGTTTTTCAACTCCATTTCCGCCACTTTCTTGGTCATCTCCACATCTTTAGCCTTCATTTCCTCGACCTTCTGTTTGATTTGTTGATCCTTAGCATTTATTCCATTGCGTGCTTCATCGAGCTGTTTTGTCAATTGCACCTTTTCTTTCAGTAGTGTGGCCACAATGTCGTCAAGTGTGGCATTTTCTGTCGAAGTAGATACAAGTTGATTTAGAAAAAGAAAGAAATCTCAACCATCATATATTCAAAAAAAAAAAAAATTAGAGAATCATATATTCATATTTGACTCTACTAAAAACAAAGAGATCATATTTGGATATACACCCGATCTAAACATCAAGTATATATGCAAGCGCAAAATTGTAGATGACGTTTTAGGTAATTGAGGTTTTAGAACTAAATCATCGGCTAGTGATAACAAACTACTAATAATTCCAACCACATGTGATGTGAGTTCAAATATTATGCCCAAAAATTGTAAATAAAAATTTAGACAAAACTCACCGATCTTAAGCGCTAGAGCTATTCTGATATCTTTAGAGTCTGTCGTCACAATTTCCTCCGTCGATATTCCACACGACGATCCGTCGACTCCCGGCGATGAGATTACCGTCAACGATATCGAGGACACCGACCCGTTATTTTGACATTTCAGCTCAACAACCTCATCCTCTTTCTTCTCGATAACTACCATTAACTCCTCTATCTTGCTCTTCATCGCATCCAGGTCCTTAATTTTCCCGGCAATCTCTTTCGCGTGTTGGCTTTTCATTTCGGCAATCTCATCATCTTTCTTCTTGATCACTGCTGTTAACTCCTCTATCTTCCTGTTCTTTGCATCCATCTCCTTATTTTTCTCGGCAGCCTCTCCCTCATGCTTCTTGATAATTGCTTCCATCACCTCAATTATTTTATTCGTTTGTTCCCGCTCCTGCTTGCTCTGCGCAGCATCATATTCAAACATTCATTAATGGCGTCAAACAACCAACATGAACAAAGGCAGAGATCTGCGACGAAATTTCAAACGACCCCTAAGATATTCGAACCATCACCATCAGGAGTGAGGAGCCATTGAAGTACCAACGGTTCCATTTCCTACAACTTTTCATCAACTGAAATTTTGGGAATCTTTAAGATATTCTCTATACCAATACGGCCATACCCGCGCCCCGCGACAATTCAGTTAATTTGTCGCAGAGCACGAATTGGGGCAGATCTGCCAGATCACGACCCATATAATATGTAGTTAATACAGAACACATTATAACTATTGATATTACATTACAAATATGAGAAACAAACTATAACATGACTAATGTAGTCAAATTATCCGAGAAATTGAGACTTTGGTCTATTTTAAATTTAATTATAACAAAATTATGAGATAATAAAAGTAAAAACGCAAATAATCTGAATAAAATTAAGAAGAAAAAGAAAAGAAAATGTCGAGAATGAGGTGTATCATGACAAATAAGGTTGAACAGAGTACCCCATGTCGGCTCCATCCCACAAGCCAAATAGATCGAAGTAAAACGGATCAGATCGAAATTGTCATTACCTGTCTGGCAAACTCTGCTTGGTAGTCCAAAACGACGCAGCGGGACACGTTCATGCTGCAGCGATCCCACGACCAGGTGATAACCTGCGGGACGCCCAAGTGCTTCCAGTCATAAACCTCGTTCACCTTCCACGTCAAACTACTGCTGACCGAGAAACCTTTGCCGCCGGTGTTGTTGTAATACACAACCGAATAGCCCTCGCGGTTGACGAAGAGCTGCAGCGTCCAGGTTGGTTGCCAGCTCGGCCAACTTGGCCCCACTCACGACGGAGCCGTTGATCTCTAGCTCCGTAAAGTTCGCCGCCGGCTGATTGTTGTTCTTGATGGTGGCGACGATTCTCCACGTCTCCTGTAAGTAACTGTGGTAGTTGAGATCGCCTCCGACGTCCCAGACGTAAACGTTGCCGCCGGCGGCCTGGACGAACTGGTTGGTCGAAGTCAAGGTGTACCTCATTTTTTTTTTTTTTTCTCTTTTCCTTCTCCCCTCTTGTTTTGCTGTCAGAAGACTTTGTGATATTTCTCAAGATATAACTTGGCATATATAATGGAAATGACGCGCATGGTCTTCAGACTCGGAATTATTATAATTAGTTAATTTTAATGGTTAATCTAACAAGCCAAATTGAATTGAGGAATTTTACAATGCTATATAGCATTGGTGCTATAGGTTTTTACCTTTATGGTACAACTTCAAATTGTATTATGGTACAACTTCAAATTGTACCTATACTTTTTGTACAAATTCTTTTATGGTACAACTTAAACTTGTACCTTATGTGATGGTACAATTTCAAGTTGTAAAGTTGTACCATAACATAATGATACAAATTCCTTTATGGTACAACCTAAACTTATACATTTAATGTTATGGTACAACTTCAAGTTGTACATTAAAGTACCAATACTATATAGCATAGTAGAAGTGCTCAATTGAATTACTAATAATCAGCCAAATGTTTTGTAATACATAAAAATATTAGCCATCATTAATAATTTTGTAACTTATTCTTAGTTAAAATATTAAAGTTTGGAATGTTGACATGTATCTTTTCTAAGTCAATACCATGTTGTCAAGTCAAAATTACTAACAAAATTGATTACTGAATGTTCACATCTGACTAATTATTAGTAATTTAATAGGGTTGGCTAACAAAAAAGAATGCTAGAAAGATTTGACTAATAATTAGTATTAACCCTAATTTTAATAGGGAAAAGGGTCATTGCCTTCTAGGCTTGTTTAAAAAATTTCTTGGGATGGGGTTAAGGGGATTGAAGTGGGTTATGTGGGAACTGGGAAGGGATGGCAATAGGGATGAAGAAGATGGTTTAGACTCAAATATTCAAAGCCGTACCACCCCATGCCTTTGCGAGAAAGATTTTGCAAATCCATTCTCGTATCCGTGGGTTTCGACTACCTGTGGATAATACACACCTCGTACATCAAACAGTGGAGTCGCTTCACCTAGGGAGTAACACATTTTCAATGTGTTAGATTACTGCCTCATGCCATCTTTTGGAACATTTGGTTAGAGTGAAACTCCGGAACTTTCAAAGATAAGAGATGTACATGAGACAAGGTAATGCACAAAGTGGTGAACTATTGTAACAATTGGAGTTTTGCCAAGACTCTTCTAGATCGACAAGAAGTACAGACACTCAATCAATTTTTGCTCGGTAGAGCAACCAACCCTTTTCATCCTCCATGATCATTCATCTTACTGTGTCTCACATCTCAACCTAAATCTTGTCTACATCTTTGTTGTAATTCTCTTTCAAGTTGATGTGATAGGTACTTTGTATTATGTTGCAGCAACTGTGAAACTACTGTAACAGGTCGTAATATGTAAGCTACCTTATTTTATTAATACACACAAATCATTCATAAAAAAAAAAGAATTTATAACACTAAATGAAAGGAATTAGGTTTTGATTTGGGTGGACACTCAATTTCATTTCTACTATTTATTTTCTTGAGTGAATAAATATTCTTGGTGGGGCGGGTATGGGTAAGGGGGGGCTAAAACTATACCCGCCCCATACCCACCAAAATTTTTGCGGGTTTTACCCATATGCGCCCCATAACCAGTCAACGCGGGGATTTCTTGGGTACCCGCAGTCATGGGTTTGATTACCATCCTTACCTGGAAGGACAAAAACGTATCAGTTTAGGGTGGGCCATGGTTGGGTACTTGGATTGAGTGAATTTTGGTTTTAAATATATCTGCTTATTAGTGAGTTGAGATAATTGTGACTCGTGATCCACCCACATTTTTCGTCGAACTGGATTGGGTGGGTGGATGCTATTGGATTATGTGTTAGCATGTAAAAGCAATTTTTCATCTCTTCGTTCGGTAAGGTCACTAATATTTATAATAAATTTCTTTCAAATTAGAAAGACACTTGTCATTTAGACACTTCACACTTTATCTGATATGCATCCGACTAGCTACTAGTTACATGTAAAGTTTTTTACTACTAATACCAACTTTTCAGTAGGCCACTTTAAATAACGTATTTGTTGACAAAGGAAACAAAGTTCAGAACCACATATTCATAGAGACCAACGCTCTTTACGCTGCAACAGCAAAGGACACACATGCTTGCCAGCGCGACGCCACGTCGCTGCAGATTGTCTTGAGTGAGGATTCTCTTGTGCCAGACGAGCCAAATGATGCCGCAAACCTTTGTGGGAATGAAGCCTCTCCAAACAATGTTACAAGGGAAATCCGCCACCCCCGGGAACCTGTTCTCCACCTGGAACCTGTAAAGAGTTTTCACAGAAAAGGAGAGATCCGGATCCGGAGACCACACCACCCTACAAGGGCTACACATAATTCTATGCGAG